CTATTTTTATGTATGTAATTTTTATGTATATAATTTTATGTATGAAATTTTATGTATGTGTATTTTATTCAAATATATTCTTTTAAAGCAGTTTGTGCGATTGATTTTGTAAACAAAAATACTTTTAATAATAAGTGCGTTTTCAATGAACTTGTTAATAATCATCAAAGTTAATACAAATAATTTTAACCACTAATCCATTTTCCTCAGTGTACTCGATAACCGATTCTTTCCTCCAAGAAAGAAAAGTTTTTAAGTTCTTAGAAATTGGTTTACTAACCTAAATTATTTTTGCTTCAGCAATTCTTACAAACTCGTTATACTTAAACTTAAAGTTACTCTTTTCCGTTTTAAATACTAATTAAGTTATAATGCCCATACACTAAGCATCATCTAAGTAATTTAATGTTTTTAGTTAATTTCTATCTAGCTAATTGAATTTCTGCAGTAACTCAATGATTTAATTATTTCATTTGTTCATCTTACTAAGAAGAATTGTTTCAAATGTGTTAAACTTTTCAAACTACACGTTATTAAGTATAAAAGTTTTTTCAATAACTACAGTTATTGAAAAAACATTTTTATTTATAAATAAATCATCTAACATTAGTTTTATTTGTTGAATCTTGTTGGACTTTTCAGGGCCAGGGGCTGCATTAATTTGGTGGCCTCTTTTATGTGCACAACATAAAAATGACTGAAAAATACCGAACGGTCCTCTTGACTATTTCGCAGGCCCTAACATTGTAAGTCCCGGGGCTATAGCCCTTCTACCCCCCCCCCCCCACCTCCTCAATCCAGCACTGGAAATAAGACATAAGTATCAGCCTGTAAAATAAGAAATCGAAGGCGAGCGGTCAATTTGACCAGCTAACCCTTGGAATTGACGGTCAATTATTTTTTTGGATGGTCAACATTTTTATTATTTTTTTTATTTTCATTTTAATCTTCGTAATAATTTTTCATGACTGAACTTTATAAATACAAAAATAACTTAATATTTGATAATTAACAAATTAGTATTCCTTTTTTTAAATTTGCAAATAACTAACATTAAAATTACACGCCAATGTCAATAGTTTAAAATTAAGCGCGCAGATTTTCATTTTACTTCTTAAAGGAAGTTTGATAAATTGATAAACTTTTTCAAAATTTTAATGATTATATGATAATTTAATACATGCTTTTTCCAAATAATAATCCGATTATTTTTCAAATCTTGTTCTTTAAAACTCTGATTATTTTTTAACCGGTCAACCATGACCGGCAAGAATTTATTTTAGGAGGTTAAAATAGCAATTTTACTCATTTTGGGTAGTCATTGACCGTTGACCGGTCGTTATTTTACATGCTGAGTATATAAATAAAAACTATATATACTCTATATTAAATATACTTGGTTTTACGCAACTAAATATTATTTCCATGGTCAATTATCGAGTCCAATCGTACCCGGATTTTTTTTAATAAGGGCCTACTAGCAATAAATATTTGTTTGACAAATATAACAAACAATGTAAGACTAATTTAATTAAAGAAATAATTAATCTTGATAGATTGCTTATTTCTTTGAGGATTTGAAGTCTGATATTAGATTTACATGGTATTATATACTAATACATTTACATTATCAAAAATAAAATGGTAACTTTCTTATAAGATAAAAATAGTTTCTATATATAATGAGAGAATCACTGTTGATAGGAAGTACAAAATGACAAATAAACACTCCCATACAAAATGCCTAGATATATAACTAACTTATAGCTAATTTAATTTTTTATTAAAAATATAAGTTAAATTAGTGTTTATATATGTAATGGTGCTTTTAATGATCATACACCAAAAATATACTAGAATAAAGGAAAACTATTCCAAAATTTATGCCAAAAAAAAATTAAAAAGTTGCTTAAAAAAAGAAAGAAACCAAAAGAAAGAGAGTACCAAAAAAAAAAACTCATTTTTTTGACCAAAAAAAATGCCAAAATAAAAAACACTTTTTTTTGCAAATCTACGAGCATCCATTATAGTATTTATAGAAAAGAGAAAGAGAAGTAACATTATGACAATGGATGAAGGCTGGCTGCAAGAGCAGGTCCAATTATGTTTACAATGGGTTTTTTCACCTTGTCTGAAAGTGAAAAGGGCATCATTCAAAAGTCCGCTCCCGATATGGCAACAGTATTCCAGGCAAGAACGGATTTGAGATTTATAGAGATAAAAAATAAAATTCAGAGTAAGAAACTGGGGAGCACGATTTGATATATGATTTCCAAGAAAGATCACAAGTAAGAATTAATCCTAGAAGAGGAAGGGTAGATGACTGATTGAGAAGATTACAGTTCATAAATATAGGAAGACCAAGACTGTTGTGACAATAATTAGCTGAAAAAATTTATCTAAGATTTATCTAAGTTAAAGTTCACCAACCACTGAGAGCTGGAAGATTCTGGGAGATCATTAATGTAAATTTAAAAAAGTATAAGGCCATAAATAGAACCTTGAGGAACCTTAAATCATAAATAGAACCTTAAGGTTATTGGATTCAAGATGAGAGATTACGTATTTGTTAATTAAATACTCAAAAACCTAGCTTATGATAAGAAGAAGACTAATGAGATGGTAGTTGGACGAGTCAGATTGCTCTCTAGAATTTTTGAAAATAGGCATAGCATATGTTGTTTTCCAGCAGGCTGGAAAATAACACTTGTTATATTATTTTGAAAGTATAGATAACAGCTTCAAAGAACACTTTTGCAAGTCTATAGCAGGTATGTTGTCCCGGCCAAAAGTTGTTGAAGAGTCTAAGCTGGAAATCACTTTAGATACAGAAACTGGAGTGATACAAATGTAAAGCAATTGATTAACCTTTTTGTTGGCTATATCAGGTAGGATGTAATTAGTGGAATTAAGAAATGAGATTGATGAAAAGTTTATAGCAAACAATCTGAACCATGCGAGACAGGAGGACTAACAGATTTTCTCTTATTATAGACTATTAATGATTCTCCAGAAGTCTCTGGAGCCTAATTTTTGAGATAAAATACGAGATTTTGTAACCTGAGAATAGCGAGTTATTTTATTAGACAAAACCTACAATTATAGGGGGTTCTGATGATGAAGAAAAATGAGATAATAGTTTAAGAGAGATTAAACTGGATCAGAAGCACCTAAGGGTAAATGTGTAGAAGCTGAGCACTTACTAGTATCAGAAACAAGACTTTAGTCGTTTAGAGAATGTAAATGATTTAGATTGTCTAGAAAGCGAGTTTGAAAGTTGACTATTTGTGTTAGAGATTAAGAAAGGCAGATGTTGTGGGCCTTAACACCTGCAGAGTCACTGACACTAGAACTAAGCCATTTAGTGTGATGAGCATTTAAGTTGCCAACAACAACAATATTGGCTGAAGGATAGAGAGAAAGAGCTTAGCTAATTTTATCAGAAATAACATCAAAAAGAGTGCAGTCTTGAGATAAAGGAGAGTAATATAGAACAAAGAGAAAGGTAGTAGAGTGAAGCTAAACCAAAGCACTTAAAAAGTAGTCTGTGGATTCAAACACAGTTTCCCAAAAAATGGTTGAAATTTTACGAATTTAGATGCCCAGGTCAAGCATATGGCTATTAGAGTCTTTATGAATTAAAGGAAAATAACCATCAACTTTAATATCACAAGATGAGACAGCTGAACTCAAGTTAGTCTAAAAATAAGCAAGGAGGTTTGGTAAATTTTGCAAGAGATAAGACTCAACAGAAAAGTTACTTCGAAGACCACACATTTTAGTTAATAATAGATTCAGAGAACTTTGTGACAATAGTTTTTTGTGACAATAATTTTTTGTGATTTGTAGTTTATGATACTTTTGTCATTTTAAAAATTGATTAAAGAACTTGACTGGTGGTACACTGTATAATAGTACAAGCAATTTCCTTATTACTATTAATAAACCCTACTGTTAGTACTCTTATATTTTATAGCTTTTATTGGAATAAGCCTCTCTGAAAGCTACCACAAAGTTTGGGAAACCTTATTACCAGTCGGGTTCAAGCTATAAAACTGAATTTTAGAGCTGTACCCTCATTAGTAGATAATAGAATGATTTGCCTAGTCATAAAAATAGAGACAAGCAAAATCCATGCAATAAGTCAAGAAGATTAAGTATTTAACATCCTAAACTAGAAACAATGTAATAGATGAAGAAGGGGAAGAAGGAGAAGCATTTAGGGATACATTTAGATGGTGGAGCAAAAGATGTATCAAGAGCAAGAGTTAATTGCGTCTGTGTTAAAAGTTCAGAGAATTATCTGAACATCTAACAGTTGAAGGTACATCAATTGATCTAGGTGAATACAGAGAAATCTTAGAAGTTATACAAAATCAAAAAGAAAGGTATACACCACATTCATTCAGACTGTTATTGTATGGCATTAAATCATCTATTTTCAACCTGGGGGTTGAAAATAGATGATGTCCATTGTGTGGAGTAAAAAAATTAGATGATTAGGTAAAATAATATTATCCTTGACAAAGATTGGGAATAATAACTGTATCTGTTTGTTTTTGTCAAGGACAATTAAAGTTGCTTGGTTATGCAGAGAGGCAGCAGTTTTGAAAGAAAAAGTTCAAGGTAGAAGTAAAAAAACTTAAAGTGCATCATAAACAGCATTAGGAAAAACATTCAACATTCATGAAGTGCAAAATCAGTATAATGATGATGAAGACGATGATAATGATGATGATGGTGGTGAAATGTATAATAGACTTTATCAATATTTATTTCAGTTCAAGTCATAAACTCGGCTCTGGCTATATTTTATCAAACTCAGCTCCCGTCAAATATCAAGCCTTGTTGTTTACTAAGAACCTGTATTATTTTTTCTAATCAGTTCATTCTAATCTAACCTAATATAGATGATGTAATATTTTCATTTTATTTTTATTTTGATATTATGTTTACATTTTGTTAATCTAATTTATATATTACGTTTTTTATGCTTATAGAAATTATCAACACAAGTATTGCTAGTAACAGTGCTGGATATGACAGGTCTATTATTTTTTTAATTGTTTTCTCACTTACTATTTTTTTTTATGTTTTTAAGTATATTAAACAAAGGCTCCTTTAGTTGCAGCTTTACTAAATTTAAGCTTTTACTAATCAAAGTTTGTGCACAATATTTTTTTGAAGTTTCTATGAATTTTTTTTTAACTTTAAAATATTTAAATAAGAATCTCACTTATTTATTTCTTCTATTTTATTATTGTTTCTATTGTTACAATTTATTTACTCATTTTTTATTTATTATCTTAATCACACCTGTCTTAGTCATGACATAAAACTTAACTTATTCTCTATAAGAGTTAAAGTATTTCTATAGGAGTTGCAAAAAAGGGTTCTGGAATTCAAAAGTTTGATTTAAATTGTTCCTTTCTTATTCTTCCAAAAAGAAGGTTTTAAACATGCAATTGTTATTGTGCAGTTATCATTGTTATTGTGTAATACCTGTATTATTAATTTTTTTTTTCTAATAGTACAGTATTAGAATACTGCTTACTGCTGACCTACATCAGTTTACTGTCTGCTTTTATTTGTAAAAATAAACGATAAGTAATACTGTCTGCACGAAAATGTTTATGATTGGCTAATTGAACTAATAATGCTAATTTGTACTAGTTATATTAAGTTATTTAATTATGCTAGGATATTTTTCTTATCATCACGTTAATCTGATAAAAATAAAATCAGTGCATCTGCTGTAGTTGAATTTAAACTTTCTAGAAGTCTAATCTTCTGACTTCAACTTTTTTTTTTTAGTTTAAGAAAAACTTTTTAGTTCTATGGAAAATTAAAGAAAAAATCAATTGAAAAGCTTAATTTTATGTCCATCAAATTAAGTTATCTTTTATGTAAAGTTTAATGTATTTGATATTTCCAAACTACATTCTCATAGACTGATCTCAAATAAGATAGGTTACATTGTTAATCAGCAAAGATTTCCTCTTGTTTTCTTTGACAAATACTCTATCAACTGAAGAAACTTGATATGCTTGCTTAAAGTCAGTTTCTTATCTCTATATTTCTGTTTTCTATCTAAAAGACAAACAATATTTTCATTCTATCAATCTACAATGGGATGAGTTGACCTTGTTCTTCAGTTATGATGCAAATTTAAATAAAAACACTGAAATCAGAAGAAAATGCAATAATATGACAGAAACAACATGTTACATAAATGTTACATAAATCTAATTCTCTTGAATTAGATTTATGTAACATTAAAATCTCATCTTCACAGTTATTATAATCAGTTGATACTTGCAATATTGATTGCTTATTTATCCGATTACACTAAAAAATTGATTACCTTACAATAACATTGAGGGTTAAGGCATCTGTCTGGTTTTCAAGAACCATCTGTAATCTACACTCTAGACTGAGTTAATACTGCAGACTGACAATGTTTGTAATGACATCCTTTGCTATAGCTACAGATCAAAAGATGAATGAGATACCATTCTCATGAAGCATTACCAGTTTTTCTCTTTTACATTTCAACAGTAAGCTGCTGCCTGATATAACTCTAACAAAATTTTTTTTTTTTGATTTATCTAAAGTTTTTAGCAGCATCACACAGTTCAGGAAAAGTCTGTTCAAGTCTTATTTGAGAGCATGGGTTTCGTGAAAGAGGTTTAGTATTTGACACTACTGCTTAAAATTCCGACCTATCTAAAGAAATATACACGAAGATTTAGCGATGTCTAGACTAAAAGGCTTTTGTGACCTGCATGCCAAAAAGATGAATAAAAAAGATGATTAAAACAACTAGTTTATATGACCCAACAATCGATGGGCCAGAGAACCATAGCTAATTAATGGGGGCTAGAACATTCTTGGTGTGAAAAAGTATCATTTCTGGTTTAATCGCTTTTTTAAAAAAATTTTTTATTAAAAACAGAAAACTTGTCATAGAATTACCAGTTAAAAATAATTTGTATTCTTGAGCAATTAAATCAAGTTTACCAAAAACCACGCAAGAACGTCACCATCTCATTAATCTTGTTGCAGCAGATAAAGATGACAGAAAACTATGTACATCCAATGTTATTATTGTCAGCATGACCAAATCTTTAAATGATAGTACATCAAAGATCTCTAAGTTTTTTAAAGTTTGTAGTATAGTTTCTATCTAAGTTAACCATGTCAAACAAATTTCTTTTTCTAAGTATAGCAAAACTGTTGCTAAATCAATCCTGGTCAAAGTTACCCTGGAAAACAAATCTGGCCAAGATATGGTGCCCAAAAACTGCAGTTACCACAAAGCAGCTTTCAAAGGGGTATTTTCTATTCCAAGTTAAAAAAGTGTAACAGTCTATCGAAGAAAGCAGATATCTTAAATAAGCTATTTTGGAATGTTATCCACACATGTACTAAAGTTGTACATTGCATCAGTGTCTTTCTCTCCAGAGACGAACAACATTTCATCTATGCCTCAAACTTCTTTTTATCCACCATAATCTTAGAGTATTGCAAAAGTAACAAGCTTTCCAAAACCGTCTAGTTCCAATAATTAAACACTGATCCTTCATCTAATGACATTTAATTGCTTTGAACACTAGAAATGTCAGCAATCACATAGTTGTCATTGTTTATTCCTCTCAATATATGTGTAAAAACACACAACCAAAACCTAAACACATCCTAATATGTTCCAGGTTGCATGTCAAGTAGTTGCTATAGAACTACTTGACATGCAACTTGACATCCTTGCGAATCTTGACTCTTATCCACTTTGGTCATTCTCAGATTTCCAGAATTCTATTAATGATGCACAAAATAAACAGCCTCTATCAAAATATGTGCAGTTTTAAAACCTGCGGTGACCAAGAATGGGTGACTGCCAATATTCTACAATGCATAAAACAAAGCTAACATTAACATAAAGCTGGGCCCTATGACCAATGTAAAATCCTGGCTAATATTATTGCTAACTTATTGCCACCCAGAAAGCATCTTACTACAGAAATAAATATACATTTCTGATATACAAATATACAAAAAGAAAGACATATGGTTCAATGGACTAAGTGGTTTGATGTTGAATTACCCTATTTTTATTGAAAAATGATTTTGTAACATTAAATTTTGTTCTTGTTGCATATTTAAAAATGTTTTATGATAAATTTAAAAAAAAAAGATGTAAAAGTTGTTTAACTTTTAATATTTTTTTAATTAAATACAAAAAGAAAAATCTTATGAAACATGCTGTAATGAACATTTTATAAAACATACTGTAATGAACATTTTATGAAACATTAAGGTAATTTTAAAATGTTCTGTTAGTTTTGTATGTATCAAAAAAAAAAAAAAATTAACAGTTCTAATCATTGATCATAACCTTCCAGATGTCATGTCATTCACTACAGGTTCCAGTAGATGAGAGATCTGATTAAGCGTAACATCTGACATTTTTAGTTATGAGTTTAACTTGGATTGGATCCGTAAAAATATGGGTCTTTGTAAGTTTATTCGATACCAAACTTTTCTATATTTTTTCCTTGTAAATCCTAGCTTTCTGGATCAGTAAAATACGGGTCTTTACCAAACCTACCATTTCTATACATATCTATTCCACACTGATTATTTATATACCTATTCCTTATCTACTTCAATATTTTTTAGTAAAATAATTTCCGTAAAATACGGATCTTTACCAAACCTACCATTTCTATACATATCTATTCCACACCGATTATTTATATACCTTTTCCTTATCTGCTTCAATATTTTTTTGTAAAATAACTTATTCTGAAAAAAACTTTAAAATCAATAAACTTAACATGCACATTGGCTTCAGTTTGTGGCAAAAAAAGCTTTTATGTATCAAGTTTCCTTTTGCATATCTCGAATTTTTGGATTAATTTGCATACAATTGCACAAAAAGATATAAAACTGGACAAGTATATCATTTCACGAATAAGAGTTTGTGTTTATTACAATAGTAATATATAAATAGTTTTTGTCTTTATTAGAATATACCCCATAAAAATATATTCCATATATTTTTGATAGGAGTTTTTTTAAAAAAAATTTAAATAAAATCTTATTTCAAGTTTGTTTTTCTATTAGTATTAATTTTAGTAATATTAATAATTAGTATTATATTAATTTTAGTAATATTAATAATTAGTAATAATTATTATTTTTTATTAGTACTGTTTTTCTATAGGTATTAAAAACGATTTATATGTTTCTTTGCAAACGCCAATACACTATACTTAAAATTTTTAAGTGCACTGAACTGCAATTACTTTTAATTTTTTAATTATTTTTAATTATTTTTAATTTTTTAATTTTTAGTTTAGTGGCTTGTTAAGAGCTTTTAAATTTTTTTAAAAGTTCTTAACAACAAATAATCCACAGCTTATTAGGGCTAATTACCTGAGCACATTAATGACATAAGTATCTCAATCATGACACATATGTAAAAAAATATTTTCTCCTAGATTTTTGATTATTTTTAGAACCTTTTGTTTTTTTAAAAATCTCTTTGTTTGTTAAATTGTATAATATCGTTACATATGTTTGTATATAATTTCTATAAAACTTCATAGTATTTCATATCTTAAAACTTGATACATGTTTTAATATGTTTTAACACAATAAGTAAACTTGTAATCAAAAGCAATGAAACTTATTTATTGGTTGTTTGATAAATGACATGAAAAGGAACAGATCCCATGGCATATTTTTAGTCGTTTAAAAGTACAGTTGGCGCTTATACCAATATCTAAAAATCAGATAGTTTTAAAATCTTTTTATTAGTCTGTCTTTTTTACCAGATGTAGTGGATTTAATTAGATGAAGCACAAAGGTATTATTTTATTATTAAAGAGTTTGCACATATCTTAATACAAAAATCCATTGATTTTTAAATCTTATAATTGAGCTGTTTTTATTACCAGGTTTAGCAGATATAAAAAGATGACATAATTTTAACAAATCTAAAATTAGAGTTTCAAATTTTCCACTTGGATGTCAATATGTTTTGTGTTTTTTTAATCTTGTCAATTTTTTGCCAAGATAAAAAAAATACGATCCTGAATAAAACGTTATATAAGTGAATTTTTTACATTCTATAAACAATATACATAAACAAATAACATATTTTTTTTATATATATTGTTTATGTTGGAATAGTTAAGCGTAACAAAGTGTATAAATCGTTTTTTAATTTTATAATAAAATTAAAAAATAATTTATACAATGCAAACACCAATATTAGTTAAAAAACAGCCGACTGTTGCTGCAGCAGAATGTATTCCTGAAACATATGAAAATCACTGAAACTATACTTCAAATTTTTAAAATTAAAAGTAATTGCACTGAACTGCAATTACTTTTAATTTTTTTGGTTTAGTGGCTTGTTAAGAGCTTTTAAATTTTGCATCTAATTATTTCATTTCAACATATTCGTTGTATTATCCATACTGCAGCCGTTTTTAAAATGCCTTAATGTAAAAAAAATCAATTTCGACTTTTTTACAAAATAAGCTAGTTTAGATGTCTACTAACATTATTGAATACATATTTTCAAAAAAATTCATAAAAATTATTTGTTTCAAAAAATGTTTTACAAAGAGTTTCTCCTAATAATTATTTTTTAATTGTGTTTTTCTTGAAATATGTAATAAACATATTAAGGCATTTGGAAAAACGACTGCAGCATATATTTATAGTAAAAAAATAAATGTAGCGAAAAAAACTTTTAATTGTCAAAAGAAAGTTTTAAAGTTTTTTCTAGCTACAGGTTGTTTTTTTTTGCCTCTACAGCAGCACCTTCTAGAGTAGCAGGACTGTCTTATTAAGTTTGTTTTTTTTCAAAAAAGAAAAAACTTAATAAGACAGTCCTGCTACTCTAGAAGTTTGAAAAAAAAGTTTCAGACAACTTTTTTTTCAGACTATTCACAGCTTATTAGGACAAATTATCTGAGCACTATAATAACATAAGTATCTCAATCATGACACATATGCAACAAATTTTTTCTCCCGGTGTTTTGATGTTTTTAGAAATTTTAGTATTTTCAAAAATCTTTTTGTTTGTTAAATATCATTACATATGTTTGTATATAACCTCTCTAAAACTTCAAAAGTATTTTGTATTTTAAAATAATCAAAAAAAATTTTTAAAAAGTTGCCAGTGGTAGGACTTGAACCACAGCTAACTTGTTCAGAAGCTAACTTGTTCAGAAGCTCGACGCGCTATCCACTTGACAATGCTGGCACGTTGTTAAGCCAAAATATTTTTACTACATAATGATTTTTTTAACGAATATAAATGTTATAGATCAAAATTAAAAAGAGCTTGACACAATGCAATTTTCAAGTGAAAGTCAAACTGTAAAACTTGATAAATACTTTAATATGGGCACTAACACTATTAATTTCGACAATATTATATAAGATAATTAATTTGTAACATTGTTATGGAGTTATTTATTTTTCTTACATTTATTTATATTCAAATGCAGCCAAAAAATAAATAGATTAGCTTTAACTATTTTTGTCATCGAGTTATATTTATTTGACTTAAATTCGTTTGATTCAAATGAAGCCAAACATAAATAAATTAATCTTAATTTTTACAGAAATGAAGGAGACAACATTAAAGTTTATATACGAATTCGACCACCTTTAAAGCATGTTCAAGATGGAATCAATGATACTGTTTGTCTTGAAGCAACAACTAATAATTCTGTTACTATATTTACAAAGCCAGAACCCAAGCAATTTAGTTATGATTTTGTTGCTAATATGGAAACAACTCAGGTTGGTTATAATGTTAATTTAAAGTTAATTCTTTGTTCAAACAACATTAGTAATTCCAATCAATAATTAAAGTAGAAAAGCATCTAGAAAAAATAAAGCGGATATTCAAATATTAAAAACTTAAGGAATTTTTACAAATCAACTTAAACAAGTTTATAAAAACGCACTTGATAAAAAGTTAGGCATTATGAAAAATGTAACTAATAGTCCATATAAAAGCGCGTTCAATTTTAAAATCAACTAACAAAAATTTTTATTGGTTGATTTGAAAATCAACGCGCGTTTTTACGTATCATTAGTAACGTTTTTAATAATGCTAAACTTTTTATACATTACGTTTTGATTAAGTTACGTTTACGTTTATAAGTTACTTAAGTTTTAAATATTATTTGGATACCCACTATATTTTTCTAGATGCTTTTTTACTTCAATTAAAATTTGGGAGAACATATCTTATTTGAAGAATTATAAAAGTTATAAGTGAGTTATAAAAGTAATAACACTTTTATAGTGTTACAACTTTTATAGTGCAGTTAGTCACTAAAGTGTACTTTTGTATTCATAAGTTTATTGTTTTATTTTTTTATAATTTTTTCGCTAACAAATTAAAGTTGAAAACAAAGAACATGTTTTAGATAAACTAAAATTTTGAAAATCAGATATTTTTCCAGATTTTGCATTTCGTGATCGCCTAATTCAATTCTTGTTGTTATATAAATATATTTTACAAATACATTGCAATTTATATTTTTGCTTTCCTCTTTAAAAAAAATTAAATAAAGGAAAACCATTCTTTTTATTGTAGACTTAAAACTTTTTTTTTGTTACTTCACCTTATCTTATTTTGTTACTAAATGTAACTCTAAAGAAACAAAAATAAAAACAGTACATGAATTTTTTTTTTTTTTTTCTATTTAAATTTATTTTAATTTCCTATTTTGTTAGTTCTTTTTTTGTTTTTTAACTTTTTCCGCCATGATTAATTTTATAAAAATTGCAAAGAGCCATGATCAAGTTGTCTAAAATAAAATATTTTGCGTGGTCATACAAGATGAAAAACCGCATGCCTTTTCTGGGAAGGCTTGATATATATATATATATATATATATATATATATATATATATATATATATATATATATATATATATATATATATATATATATATATATATATATATATATATATATATATATATATACACATGCAGGGGTTATTATAGGAAAAGAATTTGTGGGTCAGTATCCAACTCCTTCCCCTATCCCGGAGAAATTCTGTGGAACTATTGCTGAATATTGGCATTTATATTGTCCATATTTATGATAATTATAATAATATACATCAATACATCACTGTCTATTACTTAAAATAAATCTAAACAGCAGTTTGTCTTTTTTTCTGAACACTAAATGCAGTTCCCAAATTACTTTTATTGCACATCCACGCACTAATTGCTTCTTGGTATTTTCCATGCTGATGGTTCCTGTTTCCAGTTTCCTTCAATACTTGTAACCCCTTTTTGTAAGGTTTTAGTATATGTGACAAGTTTCTGTAGTCTGTAGTTTCCTTATCGTAAAATTGATCAGCAAACCAATACTTTGACCTGTTATACAAAATAAATCTGCAGGTTTTCTGTAATGTTGGCCTCGTTTTAGGTATGAGAACAAAAGCAAAAATGGCAAGGACGGCTCCTGAATTCCAACGTATATCACTAATGTCAGATGTCGCAAGAATTTTATATAATTTTTCCAGTCTGACTTATATTGACAATCACTTCTGTATCATTCATAAATTTTGGTTGTGATTCCTCATAATTGTTCATCAACTGAAGTACAAAAAATTGCTAAATGTTTAAATGAGACTTGGTGCTCCCTCTAATTTTCTTATCCATCACCACATGCAGAATCTTATTAAGCACTCAATGCTGGCAAGAAATATACAACCGTTTGTCTACCGCTTCATTGAAAATATTTGCTCTTACAACAACAGTTGTAAGACAGGGTTGTAATAAGTCTTACAACAACAATATTCTTTTTACCAGTGTTAACACTTGTTGTGTCTACCAATATTTTTTTCACTGCCCTCCACAATAAGTTTTTCATCAACTTTTTCTTCAGTTTAGAAGCTTCTTTAAATACTTATAAACTCCGGCTTGACTGGATGTTGGAATGTTAACACCATTGAACTCCGATTGCTTGCAAATTTTGGCAACTTTTCTTGTCGATATTGTTTTTGATGTCACTAAGTTCATGACATCTTTGCTCTTGTTATGTTTCCTTTTTGGTGGGCAAGTATATTCATCATTGTCATCTTTGTTATTTTCATATTCACTTTTTATAACTTCAGACTTATACGACTCCTTATCACTATCATTAGATGAGAGATTGTGTGATACAGATGTAGATGATTTGATGGTAATTTTTTTTCTTTAAAGGATAAATTGTTCCCTTCCCATAATAGAGTTGTTTATCTTCAACTGACAACCATACTTCGTTGCTTTTGTGATAACAAACAGTTTTTCTGTTAACATTGTTGATAAATATGTTAGGCGTGTTTACAGGCAGTATATATTTTTTATAGTTTGAATGGAAAATTGTCCTTTTGTTTTATCAATATTTAAAGATACTCTAGTTTTTTTTCAGCCAAAATAATTTTTTGTTTTTATTATTAAAAGTTAAATAAATTTTTAACAGTTATTAATAAAAAACAAACTATAGTTTTACATCTGTACATAACAGTGACTGAAGAAATTATATTCGTAAACCTTTTACCATATTTTGAATAATCATCCAAACCAAATCTGAATTGAAATTCTTTTTTTTATTTTAAGCATTTTTTTTTTTTTTTTAACATTTCCGATATAATATTTATAGATAATGTTCATGACATCTGATTTAGATTTTGGTATAGTAGCCTTGGTAGTCTCTATCATAAAGAAACTCACAAGTTTGATTCAATTCAGCTATTGGGTTTAGAAAATCCATCAATAGCAACAAATCAAGCCAATCGTTCTCCTAATAAATCTTTTTATTACAGAATCAATTGAAGATTGATTCTGTAATAAAAAAAGGCGACATTTTTTATTTGGTAGTTCATTTTGACATTCATTTTTTCTATATATCTTTTCAACCCAACATTGAAAACGCCTCAGCACAATATTAATTTTGACAATGTTTGGATTGTACCTCGTCATTCTTTTTGAGATTAAACTCCAAACCTTTGAAGTTTTAAGATTTGAAGACTTTTTTTATAATAATAATTAAAACTTGTTGAAATATATGAAATAGTGATAAATTTCAACAAGAATACAATAACATTAAGTGATCTTCTGATCATCCAGCAAAAAAAAAATTATAGTTTTGGCAGGAAAGTTGTGATATTACAATTATTACGATGTTAATGATGTTTTATTAAAATCCATGCCGTATCATACCGTATTAAAATCCATACCGTAATTTGGGTACCGAATAAAAATTCCTTGAAAAAATTTCCTGAAATTTTCAAATTTCAATTTATTATTTTTCCTGGGAACAATCTTTATACTTTACTGAACAAATAATTCAGAATACAGAACCTGTTGTCTAGAACATAAAATAAAAAATTATTATAAACTGTATAACTTAAACATTTTTTCACAATTGCTTTAAAAGTATCATTTTTTTTAACCAAAACTCTTAGCATATGCTAAGAGCTTTACTTTTAAAAAGTATAAATTATATTTGATGTTGATTTCATACTCTGTATACATATATTTATAAAAAAAAGTTATATTTTTAGGAGGAAGTTTTTACAACTGTTGGCAAGGGTATTATAGAAGCATTCGTAAATGGATTTAATGGAACTATTTTTGCTTAGTACGTACCTTATTTTAAAAAATTGATTTGTTTTTAAAAAACTTGAATATTTTAATAAATATTACATTTAGTGGCCAAACTGGCTCTGGAAAGACATTTACAATGATGGGTATGTAAATTTTTTTATCTATTTAAATATTTTCAAGGTTTATATTGATCCAGACAGCCTTTAACAAGTGTTAAAATTAGTAGTCAACTTGGTATCTAATTGGTATTGAATTAAGATAATTGGTATTGAATTCAAAATGGCAGATTTTATAATGTCTTGATCAAACAATTAAATCAATGTGTGTGAGTGAAGTCTGGTTTGATTATCACAAAACAAATTTCTGTTTTAACTCAGGTTTAAATTTGTAATTTAGGTTAGTTTTAGATTTTCCTAAAGACCACCTTAATAATTTTAGATTTGATATACTGGGTTATAGGAGTGAAGAGTTATTGAAGGTTTAAAGTTGGTTTAGAATTTAGGCATTATAGAGGCCATGCTATTGCCATATTATTTTTATAGTTTGGATATTTTAGAAAAAATTTCAAGTTTTATTTAAGAATTCTTCAAATTTATCAAATTTATTTTACACCTTTACCTTTTAGCTTAAATGAATAGGTAGCGATTAATCAATCAATATTTTATGTGTGTTTATTGCCACCACTTTTTTGTTAGGATCACACTCGTTTCTCTACGTGGGCTTGTTTGTTAAGGTTTGAAGGTTGACAGAAGGTTGTTACAAAAAGTTAAAAAAATTAAAAATCTTATTCAAATAACGAGTTCACTAACTTTTTTTATAATAGTTTAAATGAGTTTTGGTTCAAAATTAAATTTAATTATAATGTGGTTCTTTAAAATATTCTAAAGACTTTAACTTTTAACAATGTAAATAATAAAGCTGTGCTAAAGTTACATTTATTGGCATTAGGCATTTTCGTTATGCAATAAAATCTCATATCAAGGTGTGTAGTCCTCTCAGCTTTGGTGAAGTGAAACAAGAAAACTTGAAATGTTTTTAAAATTCAATTTCTAGTTATCTTAAAAATATTTTCAAGTATTTTGAGTTATTATATTTTTATTTTTAATTAAAGCTAATTTTAAAGACTTTTCTTGTTTATTAACTTTTTTTTTAAATTTTTTATATAAATATGAAAATGTTTTTGAAAGGCTAAATAATCTTGATCAAAACCAAGCCTACGGAGTCAACAAGTTGCATCCATCTATCCTATAAAACTGTGCTACTGCCTTCGCTCTTCTTCTAATACTAATTTTTATGGAGTCAATAGAAAAAAAGTCAGTTTCTGAATCAATTTAATTCAGCAAATATAACTGCACTATATAAAAAAGGTGACAAGACTGATTCTGGAAATTATAGACCTATATCACTTCCATGTGTTAATTTTAAAATAATACAAGGTATAATTAAAAAAAATTTTAAAAATATTTTTATGAAAATAATATTATAAGGAATTATCTTTTTCTGGATATTTCCGGAATTCCGGATATTTTTTTACATTTTTATTTTTCCGGATATTCAAATAGTTTTCTAGAAATACAAGTTAAATTTATTTTTTTTGGCTTTTTTTCATCAAATAATTAAAACAGTAAAGGTATTGTTCCATCAATTACTTTATACTGTATTTTACTTAAGTAAAGCATTATTTTTACAAATAATTTTTTCTTTTTTGTATGTGTAGATTTATTAATAAAGAGATTCCCAAGTACCGAGTCAAATTGGTGTAATTGGTCAGCATTACGTGAATAAAAATATGTGCGCAAAATCGTTAAAAATTTGCGTAAAACTGAGCAATTACTCAAAAAATGCAATTGTAAAATTGTAAAAGCAATTGCTTTTTATTCACCCAGCTTATTAAAAAATATATATAAGTATTTAAATAATAAAATAAGTTTTGTGTTAAATAAATTTACAGAATTAATTTATTTATTGAGATATTAATAAAAAAATATTTATTGTTTTTCCATATATTTCTGCAGTATTTATGTAAAAAAAAATTAAAGAAAAAAAAATGGTCTTAAAATCAAAACTTACCTTTGAGAAAAAAAAATGGCATTAAAAATTACTAATTAAAAAGTTTTTTGCTTATGTTTTGATAAATACTTCGTTTTGGAACGTTTAAATAATATGAAACTTATTTTTTAAGGATTATTCAAGCTATGTAAACACTCAGCACTTAGAGATCATTTTAATTATTTTAACTATTTTACCTAAAAATTTAGTTTAATTTAATTTATAAACTTTATTAAGTAAGTATTAAAATACTTTTCTTTGATATTAAACACCTTACAAAAATTTTCTTTTCAAGTGCATGAGATATTCTTAAATACACAAAAAGCGTTTTTATTCCCGGATTTTTCTGGATATGTCTTTATTATTTTTTTGTGGATATTATAATAAAAATTATATATATATATATATATAAAATATATATATATATATATATATATATATATATATATATATATATATATATATATATATATATATATATATATATATTTATATATATTTATATATTATATATATTTATATATTATATATATTTATATATTATATATATTTATATATATATATATATATATATATATATATATATATATATATATATATATATATATATATATATATATATATATATATATAACTTTTTTCTTAAATTTTATTTGTTATTTAAAATAAATAAAAAAATATCAAAATGAATGCTTTATTTGAATCTTTAATAATGAAATAAAAATAGTAAAACAAAGGTTTATTTAAATTTTCAATAAAATAATTAAATTAAAAACAAATGAACAAATGTTTTATTTAAATTTTAAATGAAATGATTAAATGAAAAATTGAAAAAATTGAACATTGAACATTGTAATAAATTCTAAATTAAATAAATCAAAAAGCCCCAGAAAAACCAACCTTTTTTTCAAATTCTTAGCAAAATAAATAAAATAAAAATGGCAAACATTTTAATTAAATTCTAATTACAAACTTTTTATTTAAATATAAATAAAAATAAAAAATTAAAATAAAAACTTAAAAAATTAAAATAAAAATGGAATAAAGAACCTTTTATTTAAATTCTGAACAAAACAGTTTGTTTAAATCTAAATAATATAATAAAAATATAAATGAAAAAACATTTTATTCCAAACTTGAACAGATTTTTATCACTATCATTTTTTATCACAGAGTTGAGTTAAATAGAAATAATACAATAATGAAATTTGTAAACATGTAATGTTGTTATTGACTTCAACTAAATCAACTAAAAGTCAACTAGTCAAAAGTTGAAATTAGTCAACTTTAGAAAATGGAATAGTCGATTTAATTGACTATTGACTTCCTAATAATCGCTTAAAAGTCGATTAGTAGGTATTAGTAGGTATTAAAGGATTTAGTCAAGTAAACATCTTTAAGTATAACATCTTTATATCTTTTCATTTTTTATTTGTTCATTTAATAACAATAGTATGTACTATTATAGTTTTTTTTTTACTCTCTTAAAGCTTTATCTAATTTATAGCATGCTAGCATTACTAAGCTGTTTAGATACATGTGTGAAAGCTATTTAGATAAACGTGTGCAATATATATATTATGGAGACAATAAACTCTCTAATCCGTCTTTAATAGAGTGTGGTGTACCTCAAGGATCAATACTTGGGTCTTAACTCTTTTTAATCTATGCGAATGATCTCTGTATGGCATCAAAAAGATTTTCAACTATAATGTTTGTTAACAATAGCAACTTTATTATCTCTTGAAAAGTTATTAGCAAACTGCACAGACAATGAGTTAGAAAAAATTTAAGAATAGTTTAGGACAAACAAGCTCTCTATTAATTCAAATAAAACGTTTTCTTTATTTCATTTTCCCTTTAAAAAAAAAGTACAATCTTCTTTTCCGAAATTGTTTATTGAGAATAAAGAAATAAGTAGGGATATTTTTACAAAACACGATATTTGCAAAAATATATTTGTATACTTGTTATCTGAAATTTTAATACCATTATAATATAATGGTTTTATGTAAAAAGTTTATGAATATGTTTTTATATTTACGGCAATCTAAAGCGGCTCTTGATGATAAGACTATTGATGTAAGGACTTCTGGGAGCATCTTAATAACTACAAAACAAAACAAAAAACAAAAAAAAAGTATTTTTAAAGTCCCTAAATCAATGAGGTCTGAGAATATATTGTCCCATTGTTAAGCGGCTCTTCTCTCACATTGTTTTGCTCTACTATATTTAAGTGACATGATGTTAAAAATAGAAAGTGAATATAAATTACTTTTTTTTAATACAATTTATTTCAAAAAAAAAAAATTATTTCTCTATTTCGACTAAATCGGCTTTGAAGTTGTGTGTGTGTGTGTGCGTGTGTGTGTGTATGTGTGTGTGGGGGGGGGGGGGTAGTTATATTATTTAATATTATATAATAATAATAAATACAATGAAAATTATAATATAAAAATCACACACATACAAATATGCAATAAATATGCAAAGGTATTTATATATTTGTTTACACATACTCTTTTGCTCAGGTCCTCCAGGAGACGATGGCATTGATACTTTCACACATGAGATGAGAGGTGTAATTCCTAGATGTTTTGAATACATGTTCAGTTTAATAAACAGAGAACAAGAAAAGGTCAGATTTATTGAAAATTATGTTTTATTCAACGAGAAATCAAATACGCACTGTTGTTTGCTTTCTAATGGTTGTAAAAAATGATTTTAACATTTATTGTGTTATAAAATAATTGATTAACAATCCATAATATAGTTTTGTTTATTATTAATCTGTAACCAGGAAATACTTTAAAACAGTATTTTAAAACAAGGCATTTTAATAAAATAATTTTTGTTGTTCTGCTCATAATTGTTCGAATGATATTAACCTTTTTTTTAAATGCTATTTTTTATTCAACTATTTTATGTTTATTTTTGATAAGATAATTGAAAAGTCTTTTGATTAAAATGCTTTCATAAAAATCATAAGATTAACAAAAAAGTGGGCAAAACTACGTAAAAAATGCACCATCAATGACTGTAAACATAAACTGACATGTCGAAGTTTTAAATCTTTGGTTTTTAGATAAGATTGTTTGTCTGGAAAAAAAATCGTTGAATATATGACAAATTGATGTGTATTATTGACTGTAAAACATGGTGTTTGTAGTGATAAAGTGTGGGGCTGTTTTGGTTGGAATGCTATAGGTGACTTGCACAATTATAAAATCATACTATACCTTCAGAAAGAGGGTTAACGGGAAGCCATTTATTTTTTCAGAAGAAAATTACTTAAAGCTTAAATCCAAAACATATTTTTTTAAAAATTCTATAAATTATTTTACTGAGTTCGAGAGCAATCAAATATTGAATAGAATAAATTATCCTCCCCTATCACAAGATCTCTCTCCTATCAGATTTTTATGGGAGGAATTAAATGTGATATCAAAAACTAATGTCTAATGATGCATAAGATGTGGGAAAAACTTATTAGTGGCATAAAACTGACTTCAACAATCGTATGGATAAGTCATTAATTAGAATGCCAAGAATATGTATGGCGACTATTGTTGTCAAGGCTGATTAAAAACTAATCTAATAAGTGAATTATAAACTAATCTTTTAAGACTACATATTAATTTTTTTGTAAACCTCATAAATAGGGAGATAAACCTCATAAATACGGAGATAAAATATAATTCAGGTAGACTTTTTTTTCAGTTTCTCTCCCAATTGTAAGTAAAATTTTGATATCATATATCAAAATTAATAAATTTTTTATGAAACTTTTTCAATAAACTTTGGTTTGGTACAATTTGATTTGTATTTAAATGCTAATTTTCCTTTCATTTTGGGCTAGTGGCCCACATTTTGCAATCAATCTTTTTTTGATACTAGCATTTTATACAAAAAAAGTAGAGTTTGCTCCATGCTTGGAAGGTTTCTTGAACATAAAAATTTTGAAATCTCCTTACATATCAATTTAGCTGATGATCAATTATATTTAAAAAAGTCAACAATTTGTATTTAAATTTATTTAAGCATAATTTATTCTTATAATTTATATATTTAGTTACTTATAATTTGTATTTAAATTTAATGATGATACTTTAGTAGCACTTTAAGAGTGTCAAACTTGAGATTTTCTTCTCAGTTAAAGCAGTCCGTCTTCCAGCCTTATACTAGTTGTATCAAAGCAAATAGCAATTAAATTATCAAGTAGCTTCCACAGTTCAAAATGCCTGATAAAGTGATATTTTGGGGGAACACTAGTTGCATTTGAGATCCTAGGAATTCCAAGAACTTTGGGATTTGATTCATTAGGTGCCCCATCCCATCCACTTACAAAAATGATAAAATGTTTTTCTTTCTTCTCCTGTTAAATAGAGCATGAGAAAAGTTTTTTTTAAATCTGTATAATGAATATGTGAATAATGTGGGCAATCAAACAAGTTTACTGTCTCTGTGAATATGCTAAAGTGATGATTGCATTCATATTTTTTAATTGATGAAATTGATGTTGTTTTATTTGTTAGCAATCCACCATATTTGCTGTTCAAGAAGGACTAATAATTTTGACTTCAGTTCAAAGGCTTATGTGTTTCTAACAATGATGTGTAAGCAATCCTAAACCTCAAGGATTGATTTAGTCAGAGTTTTTGGATTCAACTGAGAAATAAGACTTAACTAAAATCTATACTATCACTATGTTTTACTGTACTATCATATATTATCATATTTTATTTTCTCGGTCAATATACTATCATATATTATCATATTTTTGTGGCCTCTGGTAAAATGTGTTATCTTTTGAGATTGTACACATAATGTTTTGTGTGCTTTGGATGCTGAAATACAGTTATTGAAATTTTTCACTACACACTTTTAAGAAACAACCTTAACATTTAGAATCAGACTTTATAGGAATTTTCTCTCTTCTTCAAATCTCTATTAGGTCAATTATAATTGTGCTAAAAGTAAAACGGGTTTAAAATATTGCTTTATTTATAAATTCAGTAAAATTCCTTATATGTTCACTTCAAGTAATATTATTTTATCTGAAAGTACATATGATGGTAATGTTTCAAGAGTATTATTCTGTCTTGCATAGTTTTGATTGAGCTGTTCCCATTAGTTAATACAATAAAGAAGTTTGATAGAGTTGTTGCTGGTATAATTTATGAAATACTTGGTATCATTATCGCAAACTGGTCTTTTTACAGATAGTTTTGAGGCTGTTTGCAAGTATGATATAGAATATTCTCAAACATTTGGATGTAGACATTGTTTAATAACTTTTTTTTCTTTTATTGTTATTTACTCTTTTTTTATTTATTTATTTTAAATATATATACAGGATAGTAAAACTTCAGGTAAAATAAATTTATCTGTTATTGATGTTATCAAATTATACATTACCATATATAAATTATATATTATAAACAAACAGTGTTATCAAATTATACATTAGCATATTATAGTACTTTAAGCTTCACTGTAAGCTGGAATGTGCATGCAGTAAGTTCTCATATTTTAGCTTTTTTGGATATTTACAACTGCTCTCTGTCAAAATGTAATGAACAATTAGCAAATGCCACACATCAAAAAAATAAGGTTTATTGTTATATCTAGTATATTCAACCTTAGCACAATATATGCTTAAAAAAGTTAAAGAACTTACTAAAACTTTTACATGTTTTATTCTGTTATATGATTTTTAGTGACAAACAAAACAAAATTTTAGAATGTAATTATTTGTATTGTCATACAAATATAAGTTTTTCCTTATAATTTCTGTGATTAAAGTGTACTAACAAAAAAGTCTAAAAACCTTGTCTGTCTGCCTCAAGTAAGGGGAGTTAAACATTTAATTAGTGTAATTTCTTAAACCAAATCAAAATTTATTGACAAGAATTTTGATTTGGTTTTTTTAAGTTTCATTAGGTTTCATTATGTACTTTAGAAGTTATAGTCACATAAAATCAAAAACCTCCACAAAAACCTCACATAGGGGAAGGGTTAAAATAAGGTGGTAAAATGGTGGTGGTAATATATGGGTGCTAAATTGATGTGGTCATAATTTATGACCACATCAACTTACCACCAATATTTTTTGGAGGTTAATAATTTTACTTATGACTCAAAAGTTTTTAATAATAGAATTTTATTTACTTTATTGTAAAATGATTGTAAAAAAATATTTTTTCATTGTCTATTAACCCCCTTATTTGGGATTAGTGGTCCAAAAGTTTTGTCTTTCCTATATTTATATTTTTTGGAAAAACATGAGAATTAGTTTATAAAAGAATGAGGTTGGCACCAAAGTTTTCTCGCTTAGATAATAATATCACTAAGATAGTTTGAAATATGGACAATTTTAAATTGAGTTTTCTCCAAAATAACTTAATCAATTCTAGTGATTTTTTTTTTTAAATGGTGCACACCAATTGGTTTTTATTTCAACAAATATATTTTAACTTAATATATTAGGGCTTAACTTTAGGACATTTAGTTAAACTTTTTGTAAAGTACCCGCCATCATCTCCATAATTTTACTTTTGTTACCCGCCATCATCTCCATAATTTTACTTTGTGTTTTTTTTTTTATTTTTTTTTGTAGCAATTAATATATAAATCTCTGATATTTTCAACACTGTTTTCCTCTTTTCCTCTGCATTTCCTTCATGATTGCACAGTAAGATTTGATGACTTGCTGTGTGTGTATTATTGTCAGATAAAATAAGTACAAGATATTATTTAATTGGATAGAGAGAGAATTGTATAATATAATAAATGATCAAAAAATACTTTTTGTACTTATTATTTATATATCTCAAAGTGCAAGATTAGAATTACTGTACTTTTTATCTATCCAAATATTAATAATGAAGTTTTGATATTACAAAGTAACTTAGAATTGTTACCTTTGAACTAGATATTTCATATATATATATATATATATTTTTTTTTTTGGTTTAAAATTTGAAATTTAAACTATTTTAAATTTTTTAAATTTAAAACTTCTAAATGTGCTTTTACAATTAATTAATTTCTAATAAAACTTTCTAATTTTAATAAACTTTGATCATTAATTTTAGCGGCCAAGAGCCTTTGATTAGATTTTAATTTTAAAGGTTAGGTGACCTATCTCAGATTTAGAAATATTACTTATAGTGGGCTTATAAGGGATTTTTAAAGGTGAATTATAATTTTTAAAGGGATCCCCAACTGCCGAGACAAGTTGTGTTTATATTAAAGAAAGTGTTTAAAAAAAACATTTGGGCTGAATTTTTTTGATTGAAATTAAATAATGAATTCATACCAACAAAATTAAAATTATCGTTTTAGTTGAAGCTTGCCTTCTCCATTTTTTTTTTTGTTCTTGAGGTCTGTATAATGTTAGGTGCAATCTGCTGACTGATAATTTATTCCATGCGTGTTAAATTCATAACAGTTTTGGTGTATGACATCATCGCAATATCTTTTTAAGATAGCGTTTTTTTGTTGTTGTTTTTTTAAAGATATAAGTATTTTTTACTCTACTACAATCAGAAAATCAAATATTTGTATAATTTATTACTAAATATTTGTGATTTATTAAAAAATTATACAAATATATATATATATATATATATATATATATATATATATATATATATATATATATATATATATATATATATATATATATATATATATATATATATAATTTTTTTTTATATACTATAATATTACTTTGTTTTAAAAGCAAGCCAAAATCATGACACAGTTATACATATTTTGTGATTATTAGAGTTCGCATGCAGAGAAAAAATAAAGGCAGTATGATGCGGTTTCTTGTTTTGTATTTAGTTTATATGGTTTATATTATGTTGTTTTATATTTAGTTTATATAGTTATATGATGCAGTTTCTTGTTTTATATTTAGTTTATATGGTTATAGAGTTGTTCGTTATATGTTTAATTTACATTTAGTTATGGTTTAACTCATAAATTATTCTTTTAGTATCTAGTTTATAAAATTATTCTTTTAGTATCTAGTTTATATTTAGTTTAAACCAGTACATTTTACTGTAAATATTTGTTATATATTAAATTTTTATTTTTATAAATTTTATAAATTTAATTCTTAATTTCATCATAAACTTTTTTGGGGGATTTATTAAAAAGTTATACAATTAACATGATTTGGTGATTGTGGCAAAAAAAAAAAAAATACGACATCTTGAAAGAAAAAATTTATACGATGATGTCATATACCAAAACTGTTATGAAACACACATGGAATAAATTATCAAGTCTGCAGATTGCTGCTAACATTATACAGACCTTAAGAATCAAAAAAAAATGGAGACGACAAGCTTCGACTAAAACTTGAATTTTAAATTTAATGATGTGCATTCATTATATAGTTTTAATCAAAAAAATTAAGCCCGAATGTTTTTTTAAACATTTTTTCTAATATGAACACAACTTGTCTTGGCAGTTTGGGATCCCTTTAATGATATAAATTTGTGAAGTCCGTATCCGTATAAAAACTGTATAAAAAACAGTTAAATAAACATGTGTATATTAGTTGAAATAGATAAAAAGAAAAGAAAAGGAAAAGTTCTTATATAATTTGATTAGAGCTTTGATTTTTATCTGGGGTCACTCAAGAAAGAAGTTAGCTGAAGACATTGATTATGGTTAAATAGAATTTTTAAAAAAAAATTAATTTATAGTATTTTTTTATAGTAAAATTAGTACAAAGTAATAAAATAAAATTTTCTAATAATCGTAAAGTTTTAATTTGACAGAGTCATAAACAAAGGTCTAACATTCCATCTCTCATTCATGGGATTGTTCTTATTACCCCTCCCATGGAGAATTACTTGTAAAGAGCTTTTCTTCTAATTTGATTCTTAAATCTAATGGTCATACTCATCCTGCCATTCCTGTTAAACAGGTTAACTCATTGTTAGTCATATCGCAATTAAACTCTTCTACAGCTTGTGGTTCTTGTCATATTCTTAAAAAAGTGTTCTCCAGAATTCTCTTCAATTCTCTCTAAACTATTTAATAAGTGCTTGACTGAAACTTGTTTTCCTGTCTGCTGTAAAATGGTATTTGTGGTTCCAAATTAAAAAAAAAAGGAGAACATTCTGACCCCTCTAACTATCGTCCGACCAGTCTTCTCTCTGTTATTAGCAGTCTTTGATCAACAAATTTCTAACAAATTTCTTATTGATTCAAATATAACTTACTGTCAAAGAATCAATATGTTTTTCAATCTTCTCCTTCTACTGGTGACTTCCTAACTGCTGTGACTGTAAGATTCTATTCAAAGCTTATTCTCCCTTGACTTTTCATTAAGCAAAGTTAATCCTTTTACTGTATCTGTCTCTGCATGCTCTAAAAATTTTTGTTTGCTCTAGCTTTTTTTCCTGCACTTCAACCCTTTAGAAATCTCTCCCATCTTTGTGTTTTCCTGAATCATACAACCTATAACTTTTCAAGTCTTCTGTCAAGTGTTTTCTTGCTCTTTAACACTATTCTTTGTTTTTTAGTAACTCCCACCTTCATAGTGGTTGCTTGCAACCTTATTAGAATTAAATTTTAGGAAGAAAGCAACATTTTTTTCAAGATTTCAAAGCATTTTCATTTTAAATTTTTTGTTAAAATCTCTATATGTTTCAAACTTTTGATAAAAACTTTTTTTTTCAAAAATATTGCTTTCTTAAATTTTAAAATAAAATTCAGTAAATTTTTGAAATGAGTAATTAAAAACAAATTATTAACACTTTTTTTTTTTCAATGCAAAGAAAATTTAAAATTTAAAAGTTTTAACTAAGATGTAAATAATTTTTTAATTAATTCATTTTTAATTATTTAAATATCTAAGCTTAACAAAAAATATTTTAATAAAAAAAAGTTGATTTTTTTTTTTTATGAAAAACCAAAAATGATAAATAAGAATATGTGAAGAGGTTGTTATAAATAAAAATCGCTCAATCGTTACATTTAACTTGTGTATTTAAATTAGTTTTTTATTATTTGACGGGATTTTTTTCTTAGCAATTTATACTTACAATAAACAAAATTTAAAATAACAAAACAATAAAAAATATTTTTTCTTAAATATCTGATGTTGTGTTAACAATAAGGTATTAACAATACCTAGGCAGTGATTATTGCTTAGGTATTTTAACAACAGGCAATGATTATTGCCTACGTTTTATAACAACACAACATCATAGATGTTTACAACACGACATCATAGATATTTAAGAACAAAACATCATAAATATTTACAGTACAACATCATAGGTGTTTACAATTCATCATCATTAATATTTACAACAAAACATAGATATTTACAACACAACATCATTTATATTTACAATACAACAATAGATATTTACAGCACCACATCATTGATATTTAACAACACAGCGTCATAGGTATTCACAACACAATATTGATATTTACAACACAACATCATAGATACTTAAAACAAAACTCAACAAAATAATGTTAAAATATCTCTGGTTTTTTATCTTTACACTGAATAAAAATATGTTGCAAATATTTTTATTCAGTGTAAAGATAAAAATATTATTATTAAAAATAAAAATTTTTTATTTTTAAGCACTTTTTTAAGCACTTTTTGTTTGTTAATATGACAAAAAAAAAACAGATGTTTAAGCATATATATTAGATGTATTTGTTTTGTACTTTTTAGATTGGAGATCGGGTGGAGTTTTTAGCAACATGCTCTTTTTTAGAAATTTACAATGAGCAAGTTTATGATTTGATTAGTCCATCAACTGCTGGTTTACAGCTTAGAGAAAATATTAAAAAAGGTGTTTTTGTCGATAGCTTAGCAGAACGTGATGTTTGTTCAGCTAAAGATGCTTACAGAGTTTTAGAGTCAGGTTTGCATATAATGTTTTCCTTAATTTTTATAGGTTTAGTTATTTTTTTTTTTTTTTTTTTTTTTATTTGCATTCACTCCCAACAAGGCTGCAAGCAACCACTATTAAGTTGGGAGTTACTAGGAAAAAAAAGAACAGAGTTATAGAGCAAGGAAACGTTTGACAGAAGACTTGAAAAGTTGAAGGTTGTAGGAGTCAGGAAAACATGAAGATGGGAGAGAGTTCCAAAGGATTGAAGTGCGGGGAAAAAAACTAGATGAATAAAAGTTTTTAGAGCATGCTGGGACAGATACAGTAAACGAATGAGACTTAGCTGAATGACGAGTAAAACGAGAATGAATTTTAGTTGATGGAACTAGAGATGATAACTCCTTTGAGCAGTGACCATGATAGTATCTGTAGAAAAGAGAAAGAGATGCAACTTTACGACGATGGGAAAGAGGTTCAAGCTTAGCAGATAGTCCAGGTCCAACAACATTTACAATGCGTTTTTGGACCTTGTCAAGAAGAGAAAGTGAATCGTTAGAAGAACCAGCCCAAATATGACAACAGTATTCCATACAGGGACGAATTAGAGATTTGTAGAGGTAGACAATGGAATCAGAAGTAAGGAAATGGCGAGCACGATAAAGAGAAGCAACCTTAGCAGAAGCTAATTTAGCAATCGATTGTATATATGGTTTCCATGAAAGGTCAGTAGTAAGCGATAATCCAAGAAGATGTAAATAGGACGACTCAGTAAGAGGATTGCCATTCATTAATATAGGAATGTTGACCATACTACGGTAGTTGTTTGCAGTAAGCAATTGGGTTTTTTTAGAGTTGAAATTCACAAGCCACTGTGAACCCCAATCTATTACTGAAGTGAGATCAGATTCAAGATCAGCTGCTTGTTCTAGGCGATTGAAAAGAGAAGACTTTTTGTCAAGACAGGAGTATAAAGTTGAGTCATCAGCAAAAAGAGCTACTTTAGATGAAAGGTTGTCAGGAAGATCGTTTATGTAGATAAGAAACAAAACAGGGCCCAGGATGGAACCTTGGGGAACCCCAGAAGTTACTGGAAATAAAGAAGAGTGTTGGCCTTCAAGGATGACTTTAATAAACCGGTCAGAAAGAAATGATTTGATAATCTCAAAAACTTTCCCAGAAACACCATATGAAGCAAGCTTATGGAGAAGACCAGCATGCCAAACTTTGTCGAAAGCTTTAGATATGTCGAGAGCAATAGCCCTAGCCTCACCGCCTCCATCTAACGCACGATAAAATCTTTCAGTTACAGCAGTTAGCGAGTCGGCCGTAGAGCAAGAGGATCGAAAACCGTATTGATTGTCTGACAGTAGTTTATTTGACTCAAGATGAGATGTGAGGAATTTGTTGATGAAAGACTCAAAGACCTTGCTAATAACAGAAAGAAGACTGATCGGACGATAATTGGAGGGGTCAGAATTTTCTCCAGAGTTTTTGAATATTGGAACCACAGATGCCATTTTCCAACAAGCAGGAAAACAAGACTCAGTCAAACACTTGTTAAATAGTTTAGAGAGAATTGAAGAAAGTTCTGGAGAACAATTCTGCAAGACTGTGACAGGAATGTTGTCTGGACCACAAGCTGTAGACGAGTTTAATTGAGATATGACTTTAGCAACAGAAGCCGGAGTGATTTGAATGTCTAACAATGGGTCAACCTGTTTGACTGGAATGGAAGGAAGAGAATGTCCATAAGATTCAAGAGTGGAATTAGAAGAAAAGTTCTTTGCAAACAGTTCTGCCTTATCCCTGGGAGAGGTAACAAGATCAGTCCCATGAATGAGAGATGGAATGTTAGATCTACCCTTGTTAACAATGTTGTTGAAGATTTTCCAAAGGTCTTTAGAGCCTAACTTCTGCGATAAGATGCGAGATTCAGTGAACTGAGAATAATGGAGTTTAGCATCAGAAAGCACTTTTTTGCATCGATTTCTTGCAATAATAAATAGCCGTTTGTTCTCAAGAGAGTTGTTCTTTTGAAAAAGATGAAAAAAATGGTTACGATTGGATATAGCAGCCGCACAAGAAGAGAAAAAACATCTAAAAAACACTAAAGTTTTCAACAAAGTTTGAGAGAGAAAAAACATCAGCCCAAGGACCATCACGAAGAAAATCACGAAAGGAATCCCAGTCAGTTTTAGGGTAGTAGTAGGTGGTGCGATGATAAGGTGAGCCCAAAAAAGAAGTACGAGAAGAAAGATTTACAGAGATCATTGCGTGGTCAGAACCACCTAAGGGAGAAAAGGGAGAAACTGAACATAAGCTAGGGTCAGAGACAAGACATAAGTCAAGGAGTGAAGGTAAATGATTAGGGTTGTCAGGAAAACGAGTCACAAAGTTAACTATCTGAGTAAGAGATTGAGAAACGCAGAAGTTAAAAGCTTCAGTGCCAGCAGGATCAGTGGTGTTAGAGCCAAGCCATTCAGTGTGATGGGCATTAAAATCACCAACAACAACAATATTGGCAGAGGGGTAAAGAGAGAGGGCATGGTCAATTTGATCAGAGATAACATCTAAAAGAGTGCAATCATGGGAAGAAGGAGAACGATAAAGAACAAAGAGAAAGGTGATAGAATGAAGAGGTGCTAGGCGAAAGCACATAAAAGAATGGTAAAAGGATTCGAACCTGATTTCACGACAAATAGGGGAATTAATGCGTATGTAAACCCCTAAACCTAGCATGTGACTATCGGAGTCTTTACGAATCAAAGGATAGTACCCATCAACACTGACATCTGAAGAAGGAATTGCAGAACTTAAATTTGTTTCACTGAGTGCAAGCAAGTCTGGTGAATTTTGCAGGAGGTAAGACTCAACTGATGGAAAGTTGCTTCGTAAACCGCGAATATTTGTAAAAGATATATTAAAATATTTAGGTGGTGGGGATGGTTTTTTAGGTTTTAAATTTTTGCTTACTTTGGTCATGATTTGGGTTTAATGAGAACTTGACTCATTCATAGATAGAGCACAGCCTCCTAATCAATGAGCTATGCAGTTGTCTCAGTCCTGTTAATTAACCCTAAGCCGTGACATAGGGCTCCTTATGTGGCCTTGACAATGCACACCAGAAGCATTAACAGGGACACCATCCATGCGCAACATGGCACTGTTAATACTCTGATATTTTGCAGCTGTTGATGGAATCAGCCTCTCTGAGAGCTACCACAGAGTTCGGGAAACCTTACTACCAGCCGGCCTCAGAACCATTAAACTGAGTTTTAGAGCTGTACCCTCATATGGAGATAACAGGAAGAGTTGCAAAGCCATTATCAAGGAGGCATAAGCAAAATTCTATGAGTAGAGTCAAGGAGATCCAGCATTCATCATCCTAAGCAGAAAACAATGTAACACAGGTTACATCTACGCCAGCCTAATAGATGAAGAAGGGGTTCGAGGCTGGTTAGCAGAATTTTTCTGCTTACCCCTAAAGTCTTTGCCTAGGAGGCCTTCTACAAGACAGTAGCAGGATGCAGTTAACATCTGCCCAAGATGAGTATTTTTATCGAGACACCATCTCTAGCCTTTACTCAACCAAGAGCCCCAAGGCAGGGGACTTTTTTTGCACTTGTTATTATTTATTATTTACAGATTTGCACTTGTTATTATTTTATCTTTAACTTCTAGGATGGTTGAATAGAAGAGTGGCATCCACATCAATGAATCGTGAAAGCAGTCGCAGTCATGCAGTGTTTACTGTCTCATTATCATCAAAAGTATAAATATCCTTTTTGTGTGTGTGTATATATATATATATATATATATATATATATATATATATATATATATATATATATATATATATATATATATATATATATAATATATATATATTTTTCTGTAAGTGCAATTCAAAGATAAAGCATTACTAATATATTATTTTTTTGCTTAGAGACGAGTCGGTGGAATGGCAAATATAAAGGTAGCAAAACTACATTTAGTTGATCTTGCTGGATCAGAGAGACAGAAAGATACTAATACTCAAGATTTACGTCTTAAGGTTTTTTATGATTACTTTGTATATGTTAGCAATTTTTGTATTTTAAAGGACATAGATAAACCCATGTCCTTTATTTAGTATAGTTATATATATACATGTATAACTTCGTTTAACTTAGTTATGTATATATGTTGTGCTTGCTCTGTGTATATTTTTTATTGTTGCATGTTTATTTGTGTTGATCATTTTGATGCATTTAAATGCAACGAGTTTGCATGTATAGAGCAGTTAACAATCAATTTTATCTTGATTATCACAGTGAAATTTAAAAATGCATCAATTACACAAATACAAATACATTTTACTTCAAAAGTTATAATGTAATTTATATAAAATGTTACACATATAATTGATTGAACTGTTTACAAACAAAATAAATAATTTTTTTTGTATGATAAACCTCAAAGCATGTTACAACACATAAAGAAACATTACAGGATTCACATATGTAACAAGATTCCTATTGCTTTTGTTGATTTATGCATACTATACAACATTTGGTTGGGTTCGGTTTCAATTTTGTTGCAGGCAGAAATATTGGAAAATGTCTGGCTGATAAGCGTAATATAGAATCGGCATCTTCTGGACGCTTTACCAGTTTGATTGAGTTGCTGAGGTGATGATATGCACCCAGCTTTTTGAAATTCATTTGAAGTTCTCCTACTGGATGTTTGTTTGCAGTTAATTCATTGTAGAGTATTTTAGCTTTTAAAACTGCTAAATCAAATAAATAGAAAAATGTTTTCTTGTATGATTTTATTGACTTCTTATTCTCTCTATTTTTGGTAGAGCTTAGTATCATATCCCTTTTATCAATGGAGCCCATGTTTTTATCATAATCAATTATGGAGACTGACTTTTTGATTTTCACCGGAATTTCGATTAATTTTATTAGAAGGTTTCGATTAATTTTATTAGAATTTGTTGGTGTGCATTGTAGATAACATCTTGCTTGTTGTGCCATTTAATATCCAATAGGTTTTTGTATGATTTGCTTTCAATATCACCTGCCTTCAATTTGTTGTTCAGAATGGGCATTCCCTTTTGATTTGCTTTTAAAGTGCCATATGCTTTTGTTTTGTTTTTAAATAAATGGGAAAATAGTGTGGGGCTTGTATACCAATTATTGGCGTTTAATGTATGGCCTTTATTCAAATAGCTATTAGTCAGCAATAATTCTGATTTTGAGTAAAAAATCAGCAGCAACAGGCGATGAGGTATTGTCAGTAAAATGAAGTAACTGCAAAAGCAGTAAATATCTGTGTCTTGACATTATATATGTAAATGAAAGGGTTAATAAAAGACTAATATTCATACAAATACCTTTTTTTCACCTGTGACATTTTTTGATTGATAATGAAATGCAATACAGTTCTTTGAAGTCATTATTGCTTCAACGCTTGAGACAAGATTTTTCTTTAGTTGAATTCTGAGCATTAATATATATATATGTATATATATATATATATATATATATATATATATATATATATATATATATATATATATATATATATATATATATATATATATATATATATATATATATATATATATATATATATATATATATATATATATATATATATATATATTAGGGTGTTTCATATTTTATCAATTTGAAATTGAACTCACAAATGATTTATAAATTGACCATTTATATGAAAATAAGTTTGAGCAAAAAGTATATATAATTTTTAGGCTTTTCGCCAGTTCAATTTCGTTTCAAGTTTAATGCCTGTGACCTTAAAATATATCCTATAAAATTTTTTTTTTTTAAATAATATATGTTGGATTGAATATTAATCACATAAAGGGAGCATATTGATAAAATTACTAAATTAGTCTACAGAGTACTAATTCCTCATCAAATATTTGTAATAAATGCAGTCATACAATCTTTAAGCTATATGCGATTCTTTTCAGGAAAGCAAACTTTTGATTTTCTTTAACTGTCCTTACCCATGATACAACTAGAGTAAAATTTAAATGGCAGATCCTTGGATGCAAAGTCAGCATTCTTCCCAGACTCCCCACAGCTGTTTTATTTATTTATTTATTAACTCTGAAGAAATAAAATGCCATTATAAATAAAATAAGTTGATATAAAATGATATAAAATCTTGATATAAATCTTGATATAAAATCTTTGGTCTGTCAAGTGTTATTTTTTACTAACATGCCATCAGCCCTCAAAATAATGTCCAGTCAACTATCAATGAGAAAATTTGTTAAAAATGATATTTTGATCTTCCAAAAACTTACTGATCAAATTGGTCTAGAAAAAATTTCCTCGTAATTCTTAAACAAAAATATTATCAATTAAAACTTAATGTTTTTATTTTAAATTGCATTATTTGACTTCAGAATGTTATATGTTGCATAATTGATATATATTATATATATATATATATATATATATATATATATATATATATATATATATATATATATATATATATATATATATATATATATCATTTTAATAAATCAGTTTTGATTGGTCAAAATTGGTCAACCAATCAGTTTTGATTGGATACACCTTTATACAATTTTTTGAACTACAATTTTTTAGACTTATATTTGCAAGTTGCCAATCTGCTTTTTTGTATTCATTAAATAAAATTTTGTAAATAGTTTTATAGTCTGTAGTTTTATAGTTAGTAGTTTTATAGTCTGTAATTGGATAAAATAAGTCACATAAGTTTTGTGTCATGCTAGACAGAGCAAAGAGTAAATAAATCATTTAAAGCAATAAAATATTTATTTCTTAATACTTAGCAAGTATGACAATAGTTAAATAAAAATAATAATATAATAGTTAAACAGGTGTTCTCATCTCCTCATCTTCTTATCTTTATAAAAATACTTCAAGCTAACTTCTTATCTCATCCCCTCATCTCCTTGTCTTCTCATGTCCTCATCTTATTTTCCTATCTTCTCATCTTTTCATCTTCTTAACTTCTCTTATGCTCATATCTTCATCTTCTCATTTTCTCATCTCATCTTCTTATCTCTTTATTTTTTCATCTCATCTTCTTATCTCCTTATCTTTTCATCCCCTCGCCTTCTTATTAAAAACATATAAATTAATTTTATATCCATAACAACTGTAACACGTATACCAGCTTTAGATTTTTTTTTCCCTTAGGTTGTTTTTGCCTAGTATTGTTAACATAAGAGGTTTTCTTTATCATTTTCATTTATTGGCATTAGCAGTATAGTAATATTTTTGTCTATGATGCAATAAAATTTGAAAATAATTTTCATTAGGAAGCTGGGAGTATTAACAAATCTCTATCTGCGCTTGGTAATGTGATAATGGCTCTTGTTGATATAACACATGGTAAAACTAGACATGTACATTACAGAGATTCCAAATTAACTTTTATGCTTCGTGTAAGTAGAATTTTTTTAAAATATTTTGTAACTTTTTAATTTATTATGATAGCAAAATTGTTAAATTTTTGAAATATTTTTTTTTTTTATAATTTTTATATTTTCTTATAAAAGTATTATTTTAGTTATAAATTTTATTTTTTGTCACAAAACCATTGTAAGTGTTGCTCAAACTAATAATTCAAAGTTAATAATTTTATCAAAACTTTGACAAAGATGATTAAACATTAAGTTTGAATATAGTAATACTAAAATAAATTAAAAATTTAAATCTGAATTTAGATTATTATAAATATTATTAAGAAAGTTTGTTTGTTAGGATTCATTAGGAGGAAATGCTAAAACTTACATCATTGCTAATATTCATCCATCTTCCAGGTATGAAACAGTATATTCAATATTAGTTTTTTGTTTTCATTTTATTGCTGAAATAATGTATATTTGTTAGGTACTTTGGTGAAACTTTGTCTACATTAAATTTTGCTTGTCGTGCTAAAATGATAAAAAACAAAGCTATTGTCAATGAAGATGTGACTGGAAATGTGATGGAACTTCAAGCTGAAATTCGAAAGTTAAAAGAAATGTTATCCCAATCTAGATGTATGTGAATCTTTTTATTTTTAATTTTTAAGAGTTTTGTTTCTAATGATTAAGATTTTAATTTAATTGACAAAATAGTTTTTTATTTAAAAAAAAAAAACTTAAAAATAATCACCCAAGTTTAATTTTATGAAAATTATACTAAAAACACTAGAAATTTTTTAGTATAATTTTATGAAAGTTATAATAAAAACACTAGAAATTTTAATAAAGAAAATTTAAAAATTTTTGGTATAATAGTTCATAAACACTTGAAATTTACATTTAATTTTGTAAAGTAAAATTTTAAAAAAGTGTCACATTTCTACAAAAAAAAAAACCATATGAAAACAGATTAAAAAATCAATATAATTTGACTTAATAAATGTATTATTTCCATTTGTGGTTTTAGGGTTACTTTTATATTGAAAGGGCTTTTTTTCTATTAACAATCAAGTGAAATATTAATTACATTTTTTATAAATTAACTTTAACATGTAATCTGCTCTATTTGTGTTTGAGACAATATTAAAGTATTTTTGTTCACCATAATTACTTTGAATTCAGTAAATCGCTGTAGAACTAAAAGCAATGAACTAGAAATATTATCTATGACATTGACAAGAATCAGGTAATTTAAGTTGCGTAAAGGTATTTCGCGTAATTGCTAGGATCCTTTTAACTGGTATCACTTTCATCCTTAATAGTTTTATGCTTAAGTGAATTGTTGCTGACTGCACCAGCTAAAATCTTTTTTGCTTCTTTCCATTCAATTTACATAATGAATTTTCAAAAGCTGGTATTTGTACATTGTGGCATAAAAAAAACTTTTTATGCCACAATGTACAAATACCAGCTTTAAGTTTTATGGCATTGCACACATCTCGCCTACAGTTGTATTCATTTTCGAAAAAAAAAACATCTTTTTGTTTCTCTTTGTTGGATTTTCTTTCTTACCTATCTTTTAGTTTTTGATCTTTATTAACTTAACAAACCTAGGTTTGCGGTGAACCTAGGTTACACAGGTACCTGTGTAACCTTAGTAGTAACTTTAGAAGATTTTAGCTTCACTTTTTGTACTGTCTTTTATACCTGAACTTTCTTCAAATTGAATGCTCTTTTCATTCGGCTTTTGAATTAGCTTTTGTCCTGTTTAAGTCATTGACTTAATAATGAGAAAGTTACTTTCACAAGTATTGCAGCTTTGACTTTGATTGTTTTTCAGCCCATATATTTAGTAACTTCATCTGCAAACCTCCTTTGAACTATTTTTATTGGGATTCATGGTTATTTATTTCTCTATTCAAGTTCAATCCCCACCACATTTCTAGTAGTACCGCGCTCAACTTATTTCTTTGCACCTTATTCATCAAGGTTCCTGTTTCAAAGTTAAAAGTTAAGATGTGGAGGGTTCTAACCACAATAAAGTAGCCTCCTCAACTGTAGAAAAGACTTGTTAGAGATGCAATGCTTAAGCACTTACTTTCTTGCAACCTCTTGACACAAGCCATGGCTTCACCCTTGGTAAATCTTGTTTAACAAATTTATTTGTATTGTTTGGTTTAGTTATTTACACTACATCCTGTTTTAACCTTGTAGTAGTATTGATTGTTTTTGCTAAAATGTTTGATAAAGTTAATTACTCTCTACTTCTTCATAAAATTCACACTTATAGTTTTGACAACCTACCAATGGGTAAATGCACTTCTCTTAAATCAAAAAACAGAGCGTTTTTCTAGGAAATTTAGAAACTGGTAGACTAAACATCCTAGTGGTGTACCTCAGGGTTCATGTATTGAACTTCTGTTTCTCATCTGCTTAAACACCATTGCAAACGTTTTGCTAATGGCACCTAACTTGTTGCTAATAATTAAAGATCTTTCTGACCTGCAGCGATTACAAATCAACATCAATAGAGTTGTTGAGTTGGCTAATGCTAGTCAAGCACACAAATGCAAACAAAATTTTATGAAATGATTTCAATGATTTTTTGCATAAGCTTTTAAGCTAAAGCAGTCATGGTTAAAACCATGACTGACATGGTTTCACTCATATTCTTATGGAGTCCAACTCTGAGTGTGACCTTAATGTTTTGTTTACAATCTTTTTCTGTGGAATAACCAGGTACCAAAGCAATACACTGCTCTTTTATGAGAACTTGTTTGGAGTATTGTTCAACAGCATGGGGACTCTTTTTATTGAAAAATATTAATGCTCTTAAAGCTATTTCAATTTGAGCCACAAAACTTGTGCCATCTCTTTAAACCAAGAAATCTAACGACTGCTGCTTAGCTATTTGTATCCAATCACTTGTAAATTGACAGTGCCAGATTCACTATTACTAGCTCTAGCAAAAAGTATTTTTATGTAACCCTGTAGCTGTCCTATGTAGCTGTCCATTAGAGTGCTCTACCTATGGATCTGTGAATGTGAACATCTTTGAAAAAAACTATTTGTTTAGTTAATCATCTGTCTTATTAAAATTTATTAAGTGGGGATTGGTGATATATACATATATATATATATATATATATATATATATATATATATATATATATATATATATCAGGCTTGGTCGGGAAGCGGGAGCGATCGCTCTCGAATACTGACCACGGAAATTATATTTAGTTGCGTAAAACTGGCCAGGTTTTTTAGTTGTTTTGAGAACATTTAAGTTTATGTACGAAACAAAAAATTTTTGTTTTACGGACATACATGGAAACATAAAAAACTTGAATGTTCTCAAAACATCTTTGAGCGCAAGAATAAAAAGAATATTTGCGAACACTAAAAACCCGCCAAATTAACGAACAAACTAATTCTATTGGTTCAAAAAATACGCTGATTAAGCGAAATAAAGTTCTAGAGTATTCTGTTGAAATGTTTTAATTCACGATTTGTTACGTTTTGAGATTTCTAGCATAAATTGTTTTAAAAATATTTATTATTTGTTTACAAAAATAAATGTTTTAAATATATATTAAGTTGTCAAAATTTTAAAAGTTTATTATAAATCATAGATTTTATTAGTATATTCTTATTTTTTATTTTAAAAGAGATTGTATTCTTTATGTAAATGTAATTTTGTGTATTTGTTTTTTATCATAATGTATCTTTTAAAGCAATTTTCATGATTTAAACAAAGACTTACAAAAATAATTGCGTTTTCAATGAAGTTATAATCGTTAAAGTTAATAAAACTAATTATGTAACAAACATATAAGAAGTTTGTGGTTACTAAACACAAACAACGCATACAAAGTAACTCGCGGATGAACAAGCATCGCGCCTGAGGTCACGACAAAACACAAATATATATAGCAAATAATTAGATTTAAAGAAAAGTTTCTAGATATAGGTTTACTAACTCTAATTATTTTCGCTTAAATTGCCATTTTTAAAACTCGTTATACTTTTTGCTGCTTTAAATACTTATTAAAATTAAAAAGCCCACTCACTAAACATCATCAGCGATATTGTGAAGCAGTTTCGCTTCCTGGTCATTAAGTATTTTTAACCTTTTTAGTTGATTTCTATCTTGATAATTTAATTCCTATAGTAATTCAATGATTTAATTATTTCATTTGTTTATCTTACTAAGAAGAATCGCTTCAAATATGTTAAACTTTTCAAACTACGCGAAACATAAAATAGGTATTAAAAAAATTAACTTTTTTATTTATAAAATAATTTAGATTAAGTAAAACTAAAACTTGCAAACTTAGTTAAATAAAGAATATTTATTTCCCTTTTAAACAATCGTAAGTTGTTACTTTATATAAAAAACATCGCATAATTTTATTTTTTTTGTAATTGTCTCTCATCGGTCCAATTAGTCTTCGTCGCTTTTTTTTTTTTTGCTTTTTAAAATGTCTAAAAATCTGGCCAGCTTTTCGCAACTAAATATAATTTACGTGGTCAGCAATCGAGAGCGATCGCTCCCGCTTCCCGACCAAGCCTGATATATATATATATATATATATATATATATATATATATATATATATATATATATATATATATATATATATATATATATATATATATATATATATAAACAATTTTAAAAAATGTATTCTACAAAATAGAGTGCTCAATGTTCTTAAAAGAACAGAGCAATTATAATTCAGTAGAAAATCACTTAACGAAAACCTTTTTTCATTTTACACTGTGTTTCATCAACAAAGCATTTCTGATGAGTCTTTGTTGATGAAACACAGTGTAAAATGAAAAAAAAATTTGTTAAGTGATTTTCTACTATTTTATATATAGATATATATACAAAATTAGGGTTAGATTATGTCAAAATGCATTAATTTAATTGCAGGAAGTAATTAGAAACCACAAAAAAGACAAATTTAAAGACTAGAATGTTTTTAAAAACATTTTAAATATTTTTAAAAATATTCTGAATGTTTTTATTTAATTTTTAACAAATGAAAACATTCTGAATGTTTTTATTTTTATTTTTTAACTGTAAAACATGCATCGAGTGTTGCTACATTAAATTCTTATAGCCTGATTCACAACTGAGTGCTGCTACATCAACTGATAAATAGCCTGACTCGCAATAGAGTGCTACTACATCGACTGACAAATAACCTGACTCGCAGCGCAGTGTTGCTACATCGACTGAGGGTTAGGTTAGGGCAGGCAGTCTATTAAATAATTTAAAAAAAAAAATTTTGGCCTTTAAAATAAAAAAAACATTACTGGCATTTTATGATAAAACTTAAAGATGACAATGTAAGAGTATATATATATGTATATATATATATATATATATATATATATATATATATATATATATATATATATATATATATATATATATATATATATATATATATATATATATATATATATATATATATATATATATATATATAAATTTTTAAAGAAAATGTTACTGCATCTTTTTAAAATATATCTTAACATATATTTTAGTACATGTGTTTCAAGATTTATTATCTAAAAACTTTTTTATAGCTTATGGACCAAGTGTGACAAGTCTATCAGTTTGCAATGTTGGTAAGAGACATACTTAGCAATATATTTATACAACATGCTTAGATTAAATATACTTATTTAGAGTTTATATTTTGGTTACATACATTTACACAATATTAACAGTAAGGTACCTGTACAAAATGGGTCTTCTTATAGTATAGACAGATTTTGATTTTTTTTTTATCAAAAACATGAAAATTAAATAAAGTAAACATAAAATACTGTATAAAAAAAATATAAAGTTTTAACCTTCTTCTGTAAATTATCTGTAGTGCAGACACACGACCTCTACCTGTATTAGATTTGCGGACTTGTACTATCTCCGACAATATATCATTTTTCAATTTTGTTCATGTTTTAAGTTTTGAGTTTGATCATGAAAACACTCCTGGTAGTACCATTTTATTTATTTATTTTTACTCACCCTGGTAATATCAACTTTTTATTTTGTTTGTAAATTTTCGTGTTTCAAGAAAATAATCATAAAAGCTCTAATTAAACATACCGAGTAGTTCTATTTTTCTAATATATCATGATCTAGATACATAGCAATAAAATTAACCAATCAAATTTAAAAAAATAATAATAGCCAATTTTATAAAAAAAATTAGTTTAAAAGTAAGATGTTACAGATATTATTTTATTAGGGCTACATAGTAACACAACTAAAATAATCAAGTTATATTGTATTACAGAATAATAATATGAATCATTTATTACAAAATAATAATGTCAGAATAAAAAATGACAGAGCTATAATTATGAATTAAAATTGATTTTAAACTTGCTAATTAACTAATGTCAATGATCAATTTTTTTTTATAAGTATTTAAACTCAATCATTAATAACAAAGTATTTTAACAATGATCAAAGTTGAATAATAAGTACTATACAGTAAAACATTAACTAAATGTTTATGAAAATAGTTTAAAAAAAAATTATAAAGAAAGCAAACTTAATCTTAAAGCTGTATGTCATATTAGATTAAAATACCAAAATATATTGAAAAAATTATAAAGTATATTGGTACTTAAACATATCTTTTTATTTTGTCTCTAATAATTTTCCAATAATTAAATAACTGTCATAGTTAATAAACTGACATTTAACAAGAACTTTTACTTTAAATGAATTTGAAATTTATAATAAACTTTCATCACATCATAATAATATTTATAATATCTTTCATCACCAGCAAAAATTTTTGTCATCCTAAATGTACTTAAAAGCATCAATAACATTCAGTTGAGAATTGATAATTAAGGTTCGTGTTTTGATTCTAAATATCAAATAATAACAAATCAAATGATGCAACGATAATTATTGAGACAGATAATTTTTATTAGTTTAATAATTTTTAATTAGGTGTGACAGATAATTTTTAATTAGTTTAATAATTTTTAATTAGATGTGACATAATTTTTAATTAGTTTTTAAAATATTTTAGAAAACAATACCTCTGCAGGTGATTTAGATGATACCGTCCATTGGAAGGAAATGATGTTGAATGCAATTGCTCGTAGCGAACAATCTGAACAGGAAAAGTCTGTATGTAATTTTTAAAATCAACATTATCAAAAATAGGCGAAATCTCTATTAAGAAATAAATCTATTTTACTCATTTCTACATTGACTGAACTTTGAACCTTTGGTATTTATTTATTGTTTAATTGGTTTTATTTTTCCATTTCACCCTGTTATTTTAATATATTTGTTATTATTTAGTTTGTTATGTTCAATTTGTATAATTTTATGTTATGTTATATGTTCCATTTTGCTATTATTCTGTTCTGCTATAAAAGTTAAAGTAGAAGTAGTAGCCATAGCAACAGTGAAAATATTAGTACGAGGAAACTAAGAAATTCGTCAATCAAGAAGTGTGCTTACTGGTTTTTGTTCCTGTCACTTGATTTTTTTTTAAAGTTTGATTTTTGTGTGATGATCGAATTTAAGATAAGTTGAAGATATGTTGAAAGTGTGTAGTGGCAGTTTTAAATGTTCTGCTTTTTAAAATTTTATTAACAAAAGTATGGTAAGATAGTTAAGTTACCATAAAATGTAGAGTGAGATATGTTTATAATTTTATTAAGGTTTTTTATTAGTCAATAAGTAGTTAAAAATGTAGCATCTTTAGTGAATCAACCATGTCTACTAACTTTTATAATGAGTTTTTGAATGATTTCTTCCTTATATATTTTTATAAGGAATTTTGATAAATTTTTAAATTTAATATCTTTTTATCTATTTTGCTTGTTTGTTTAACTTTCTACTATGCATTTAAATACAGTCTTGCACAATATTAAGTGATGTTGTAGATAAAATATAAACTTTAACATTAAAAAATGTATATAAATATATTAATTTTAAGTTTTTTGACAAATTTAATTTCAAAGAAAAATTCTTTTTAACTCAAAAATTTGTTGAAATGTGGTTACTTTCAATCTGGTATCAGGTATCTTACAATTTATCTGTCCAAAATAAGTGTATAAAAGTAGAAAACATTCAAAAAAAATTATATGAACCTTAATATTTTGTATGTAGCTGTTATGAGAATATATTATATTACATTTTTTATTGTTATTTTTATTTATTTTGTTCAACTACTTTTTGCTTATGCTTAACATACCATTAGTAAGTGTTGATATGACATTAATACCAATTCAATACCAATTTTTTATTTTTCAATTCAATTCAAAGTTTCGTTAAAAATAAATCATTAGTTTTTTTGTTTGTTTAGTTTGGAGACATTTTTTGTTTGTTTAGTTTGATGGATTTACGGTCCAAACTTTGTGTCAGTCATTATAATTCAAACTTTTTTTAATAATTGTTGTGCCAATTTGCTTGTATGTGTAAGGTTAATGTCTTGATGTAGAAAAAAAATGATCTAAATGCAATTATATAGTGGATTGACAACAACTTTTGGCAAGTAAATCAACATACACTTGTTTTGTAATAACATCTTCATTGTTCACCAGCCTTCTTACATATTAGAAAGCATGAGTGAGCCACCCCGCCTTTGACAATATTAAAATTTTTTAGATTTATTTAAAATAATATGTATACACAAAATAATAATAGTTAAAATTTTAGGCTCTTCAGATGAAAGTTTTAGACTTAGAAGAGTTGTGTCGTAAAAAAGAAATGTTTGCTCAATCTCAAAAAATGATAATAAAGTTTCGCAATGATACTATTTCAAAATTAAAAAGTGCAAGTATTTTAGACAAAGATTCAGAAGTAGTAAGTCATTAATTTTTTTCTCTATGTATGTTTACAATTGTAATAAGTAATTATAGCAAAATAACTAAAAAGACCAGTTATCATATATATATATATATATATATATATATATATATATATATATATATATATATATATATATATATATATATATATATATATATATATATATATATATATATATATATATATATATATATATCAAGCCTTCCCAGGAAAAGCGTGCGGTTTTTTTACTCGTATGACCACACGCGTTTACACTATTTTAGAAAACATGAACACAGCCGATTGCAAGTTTATAATAATGCTTTATAAATGTAATAACACTATTATAGTTTTATTACTTTTATAATGCAGTTAGTGACTAAAGTGCTATTACTTGTCGTAAGTTTATTGTTTTTGTTTTGTTTTTTGTAACTTTCTCGCTAGCAAACTTTCAATAATTTGCTCTTTATTAACAAAGTACACAGCTTTGCATGAACTAAAATTTTAAAGACCTAATATTTTACCAGAGATTGCAAATCGCGTTCATATAATTTAACTCCTGATATAAACTTGTTACATTATAATTATATAAATATATTTTACATACAGATGACGATACATATTTTCTCTTTCCTCTTTAAAAGAAAAAACTCATAAAATATGGGAAAACTTTTTAACACATAAAACCGTTGTTTGTTTGTTTTTTGCTTTGACTTAATGAATTTTGTTGCCGATAATAATAACCACTAAAAAGAACAAAAATAAAAACAACACACAAATTATTTAAACAATTATTATTGTTTTCTATTTAAGTTTACTTTAATTTCTAATGTAGTTATTAAATTTAAAACAATTTTTCAGTAACGCAAATAACTTGCGCAAACAACCGTGATCACATTCTCTAACTTGAAAAACGTTTTCGTTTGTACAAGACAAAAAACTGCGCGCCTTTCCTGGGAAGGCTTTATATATATATATTTTATATATATATATATATGTATATTTATATATATATATATATATATATATATATATATATATATATATATATATATATATATATATATATATATATATATATATATTTCTACGGTTGACTATTGCATATTGACTTATATTCTTATATTTCTTTAATAATTTTATTTTGGTGAAACATGTTTTGATGATTATGTATTAGATTGCTTTAAAAGATGAAATAAAGTTGCTACATTCGACAATTGATAATCATCCAGAAGTTAAACGACTTGCTGTTGAAAATCTAGAACTGAGAGGTGAAATATATGATTTTGTTATTCATTATACCATGCTTTATATATTTTAACATTTCAAAATCATTCAAAACTTTGATCTTTTTTTAGCTAATAATTTTTTTAGCTGAGTTAAAGCGGTTAAAGTCTCTTGATCCTTCAAACGGAGATGTTATGAAAAGTATGGCTGAAAAGCATCGTTACACTTTACAACTTGAGCGTCAGCTGCGAGACTCATTGCAAGCAAAAAGTCCAAACAATCTTGAAAAATCTAGTGCACAACAAAGTATAGACGCATTAAACAATGAAATCGAGAAGCTAAAATTAGAGCTAACTCAAGTCCAAGCAAAATTGGACACTTCAAAAATTGAATTAGAGAAGAATAGACAAAATTTGCAGCAAAAATGTGCTGAGTTGGTTTGTTTGAGTGAATCATTTCGCAAAAAAGAATTGGACTTGAAATCAGATTTGGTTGCCGCTAGAAAGTGCAATAGTGATCTTGAGGTATATTTGAGTTGTTAAATAATCATGTCTGTTACATTTTGAAATTGTGTCATCAATTGCATTAAAAAATTTTTTTCTTAATTTCAGAAAGAATTGAAATCTTTTTGTTTTGCTTTAGAGAGCACTGGAAACCCTTCAACTTAAAACTGCTGTTGAAAGATCAACAATGAATAACCTTCATATGCAGACGATTAAGGTTATTTTATATTAAAACTAGTTTAACTGGATGAAACAGGTTTTGATATACATAGAAACTTGTATGGAAATTTTTGATTTCTAATTTTTTTTATTTTAGACATTGTCTTCTCCTAATAAGTTGGTGACTCCTCAAGGCACTCCAAAAAAAGCAAAATTATTCAATGATTTATATACAAAAGTGTCAACTCCATCTTTGAATAAAACTATTGGTAATGATCAGAAAGAATCTTTTCAACCAGAGAAGAAAAAAACAAAATACTTTGAAGAAGAAAAGTATGTTAATGATCCTGACCGCTTCATTCAAGATGAGCCTCATCCAAAATTTGTTGATGAAGATGATAGTTTTGATGAACTTTCTAAAAATGAGTTTAATCCATTTTGGAATCTTGCAGATGAAACTCAAGATGAAGAAGTAGAATATATGGAAGCCATACAAAAAGAGATAAAACATTTGCAGGTGTTTTTTGATCAAAATAATCTGTATAAACATAAATTAAACCATAATACTGTCTAGGTTAGCTACTCAGTGTAGTTAAGGCAATTTAAAAATTATTTGAATGCTTTTATTTGGAATCAAATTATGATGATATCATTGTATTATGTCCAAACAAGAGCTTTAAATGATATAGTTTTTTTCGCTTCAGTTTTTTTTAATATTTAAAGAAACTTTTCTTTTTTATATATAATTTTCAAAACCGTTTTACTACCCGTAATAGTGAATCTAAAGAACACCATTTTGGAGCCTTTAGATCAATTTCGCTCATTGGCGTTAATGTTAAATCTTTTGAAAAAGTTCCTTAATTTACTACTAATTGGTTTTGATGTATATAAACTATAAAAAGTTGTCAAAACACAATATTTCTATCAATTTTCACAAAAAATACTAGAATTCTGACCAAGAAAGAGCTTATAATTAAGAAAAATTGCCAATAAACAATAAGAACAGATCATATTGTTAAACTATAATTTTCATTTCACCTAAAGAGCATATTTATTTAAAATCTTTTTAAAATTTGGACAAGCAATTGTGATTTTAATAAGATTTAAAAAAAAAAAAAAGAATCTTCAGTCTGGGTTTTTTTGCTATCAACATTTATATTTAATGATATTGCAAAATTTATAATTTTACTTTTTTTTTGCTTTTCATAATTCACAGACCTGATCATTTAATGGAATCATATCGTAGTCAACAAAATATCATTCAGACACTATAATATTTATAAAAATCCTTAAATATACCAAGTATGGAAAAAAAAAATTTGAACATTTTTATGGTAAAAATGTTCAAAAGTATTTTTTTACTGCTACAACAACTTTTTGGTAGAAAAAATACAATTATTTTAAATATTTTTTTACAGTTGTAATTTTTTAAACAATCTTTTTACTGCTCCCTAATTAGTTATTAATTGCTATCTATCAATTTGTTTTTTTTATCTATTATATCTGTTTTATAGGATTTGTATAATCAATCCAGTCAAGCTCTTCATACTGAACAAGCTGCAAAGATTATTTTAAATGAAGCTAAATTTAAATTAGAGCACAAAGTCAATGAGCTGGAGCAAGTAAGTCTTTTTACACTCGAATAAGCTGGAGCAAGTAAGTCTTTTTATGCTGGAATAAGTTAAAAAATGTTTTAGCATTGTTTTATCAACTTTTATTCAAAGCCAAATAGTGAAATAGCTAATCAAAGGTTATTTAAATGTAAAAATTGACAGCATAAAGTGAATGCAAAAAATGACAATAAAATTATAATTATATAGAAAGCAAACTTCTAAATTTTGTTTAGGGCATTGATCTAATAATTAAAAAAGTTCAGCAAGAGTGTTCTTGTCCTAATTGCTTTACAGAAATGTTACATTGGTCTTCAGTGATGCATGTTGATAAATTGAATTTTTATTAAAAAAAATGTTTATACTAAAATTTATTATACTAAATTGGCTTTTTATTAAAGTAATGTTATACTAAAAATTTTTGTTATGGTTATTACTTTTAAGTTAATAATTCCATAAATATTATTTAATTGCCTTATGTTATTAAATATAAATTCAATATTACTAATTATGTTTGATAAATATTATCATTCTAAACAAAGTTGTTCAATCATTTTATGTTATCATACCTTAGAGATCTCATAAGTTTCTGCAGCACAAAACCTTATGCTTCATAAAATTATAATAAAAATTTAATTCTAAAGTGTTTAATACACATTTCTTCACAAATGTTTGCGTGTACTTTTATGTGACTTTTTTTTACTAAATACTTTAAAGATGCATCAAATCTAGTAAAAAAAAAAGTTTTGTTTAAAGGGTTTAATTTTAAGTTTTTAAAAATTAAGATTGGTAAAAATGTTGAGCCATGGGGTTATATGCAAGTCTAAAATCTATAGAATATATAAGTTTAAAAGTTTAAGATATATGTTATAGTCTTATTATTATTCTTATTAATTATAATTCTTATGATTGGTCAGGGAGTTCAATTATAATTATTATGATTGGTCATTTCAATCAGGGAGTTAAATTAGTTTAAAAGAAGTCTTTTTTATTATTGATAATTATTAAATTTTTTATTATTATTATTATTTGTTATTAAATTAAAATTTGAAGTTATTTTTATTATAGCTTCTGGAGCATGAAAGAAACCAGTGGAATGAAAAAGAAAAAGATTATACCATTCAACTCCTGTCAATAAAGGAAAAATATAATGAATTGCAGGAGGCTTTTACCAGTAAGTTTTTATGATTTTAATGTTTGAAAATTTGTTGTTTATCTCACTCAAATTATTATTTGTAAATATGTTGTGAATGTATTTTATTTTAAATTTTCACATTAACATAATCAAATTGTCTAGCTAGTGCCTGTTTTCACTAACTGTTAATTTTAACTTTGTTGTGTTTTAAGCCAAGTTGCATTAATTGAATAATACTTTGCTTTTATTTTTGCTTCTATATACAGTGTTATTTAACTAGTTTCAGTCTTCTATATACAGTGTTATTTAACTAGTTTCAGTCTTCTATATACAGTGTTATTTAACTTGTTTCAGTCTTCTATATACAGTGTTATTTAACTAGTTTCAGTCTTCTATATACAGTGTTATTTAACTTGTTTCAGTCTTCTATATACAGTGTTATTTAACTTGTTTCAGTCTTCTATATACAGTGTTATTTAACTTGTTTCAGTCTTTTATATACAGTGTTATTTAACTTGTTTCAGTCTTCTATATACAGTGTTATTTAACTAGTTTCAGTCTTCTATATACAGTGTTATTTAACTAGTCTCAGTCTTCCACACAAAGTATTAAAGTTAATTTGTAAGGCAGGATTAAAAGTTGGGTTAAATTGACATTATTTCCTGAATTAAAAAAGATTGAATTGAGCTATAAAAAAAAAAAATTTAACAATTTTTTTATTAAAAGCTTCTAATGTCTACGACAAAAAATCAATCAATCATTTCAATCAATCATTTATTTCTGAATTAAGTTTTATATTCAAGGATGTTAACAAATAGTAAATATACTAATATAAAGTAAATACCTACTAATGTTAATAATATCTAATTAAAATAAATATAATGCTAATTTTCACAATATATAATAACGATAATAAACTTTATAACATAAAACAACGTAATATAAATAACGATGTTATAACAATAATAACAATAATAATAATAATAATATTAACAATAATAAAAACAATATTAGTATTAGTAATAATAAAAGTTAAAAGTAGTTATCAATAGTAAATATTAGTAAAAATAACAAAATAGCAATAATCAATAAAAAATCTAGAATAGAAACTGTAAAAAATATATATATATTAAGATAACAAAAATTGATTATAGAAATTATAAACATTAAAGGGATTACCAAGTCCCAAGACATGTTGTGTTCATATTAAAGAGAATGTTAAAAAAAAACGTTTGAGCAAATTTTTTTTGATTAAAACTAATTAATAAATGTATACCAAGAAAAACAAATCTTGTTGTTTTAGTCGAAGCTCGTCTTCTCCGTTTTCTGTGGTATTTTGAGTATGTAAAATAAACGCAATTTTCCAGGTGCATTATACAGACTTGATAATTTATTCAAGCGCGTTTAATTTATAGGAGTTTTAGTGCATGATGTCATAGATTTTTTTTTGTTTGTTTAAAACACCTATTGTTATTTTTTACATACAATTTCCATATCATATTCATTTTTATTATATTTTAAAGTTCTAAAATGTGTTTGTAAAACAAAATTAAAAACAAAATAAAATTAAAAACAAAATAAAATTAAAAACAAAAATAAAATTAAAAAAAAAATAGTATTTTATTTGCGCAACTTTTTTTAAATAATCGTCTAGACCACGTGTATTTTGATTTCTTTTGTTATAAGTTTTTCTTTCAAAATATTAGATAAAAAAATTTTTAACCTAAATAATAATGCACTTTTATTAATGCGTTTTGAGATAACTAGCATACATTTTTTTAAGAATATATTATCAAATGAACTATTACTTTAATATTAGGGCTCATTCTCGGAGCCACATCTGTAAAGCCGTAAAACTTTTAAACTCTTATCATTTGTTTCCAAAAATAAATGTTTTATAATATATATTTTTTAAATTGTCAAAATTTTGAAAGTTAATTACAAATTATATATTTTATTAGTATATTCTTAATTTGTATATCTTTTCTTAGTGCTTGGTTAAATTAATTGTTCCTTAGATTTGTAAAAAACTAACGAACAATTAATAAAATAAACTTTTAATAAAATAAGTAACTATAGTAAGCTATTTGAGTAAAATTTAATACTAAAATTATTAAAGAATTTCTAGAATGTTTTCAATGACGTCATGCTCTAAAACTTTATGAATTAAACGCGCTTGAATAAATTATCAAGTCTGTATAATGCGCCTGAAATAACAAGATTTTTTTTTCTTGGTATACATTTATTAATAAGTTTTAATCAAAAAAAATTTGCTCAGACTTTTTTTTTTAACATTCTCTTTAATATGAACACAACATGTATCAGGATTTGGTAGTCCTTTTAACTATACTTTTTTAATAAAAAGTAGAATAAACTGGTTTTAAAGGTTGAGAATAAATTGAGAGCTTTTAGTTCATAAGGAAGGTTGTTCCAAGTTTTAGTGCTTTGATATTTTATGGATTTATATATCACTAAGATGTGAGCCAAAAATAACATGGTATATGTTCAAGAGTGTCTCAAAATTAACATAATGGCGAATTTTGGCCAACATACCATTAGATCTACTTAGTTTCATTGCTAAGTCTTTACAGTGGGATAAAAAGGAAAGATTTGAATCGATTTTTATACCAATATATTTAATTGAGTTAACAGGATCAATTTTTTTGCCACTTAATCTAAAGTTTATATGTTTATAGATTTTTGTTTTATTTGATTTAAAGATAATGAGTTCAATTTTATTAGAGTTTAGAAAAAGTTTTTTGGAGTGAAGCCACTGAAGTAGATTAGCAAGATCATGGTTAATGTGTTTGTTAATTTTTTTAAGGGATTTATTAATTAGTATTAGACTAGTATCATCAGCAAAGGTCAGGTCAGGTTTTCCTGCTACTGGTAACATGTAACCCAGTACAACCTGCTCCATGTCCTGCTGCCTTGTAGGATACGCTTTTTTAGGCAAAGGCTAGGAGAAATTAACTCCGAATTAAAACACCCCCTGCCTTGGGGCTCTTGGTTGAGTAAAGGCTAGAGATGGTGTCTCGATAAAAATACTCATCTTGGGCAGATGTTACATGCATCCAGCTGCTGTCTTGTAGAAGGCCTCCTAGGCAAAGACTCAAGGGGTAAACAGATTCTATCTGTTGACCAGCCTCGCACCCCTTCCTCATCTATTAGGCTGGCGCAGATGTATTCTTAATACATTGTTTCCAGTTTAGGATGTTGAACGCTGGATCTTCTTGACTCAATGCGTGGGTATTGCTTGTGTCTCTATTTTTATGACTGGGCAACTCATTCTATTATCTCCTAATGAGGGTACAGCTCTAAAACTCAGTTTTATGGTTCTGAGGCCAGCTGGTAGTCAGGTTTCCCGAACTCTGTGGTAGCTCTCAGAGAGGCTGATTCTATCAACAGCCGAAAAATATCAGAGTACTAACAGTGCCATGTTGCGCATGGATGGTGTCCCTGTTTGTACTTTTGGTGTGCATTGCAGAGGCCACATTTGGAGCCCTTTGTTACGGCTTAGGGTTTATTAAGAGTAATGAGGCTATTGCTTAGTTGTTAAATAGTGTACTGAGTACTATCTATACTTGAGTCAAGTTCTTTATAAATTTAAAATGACTAAAGTACCTAAAACTAAAAAACACAAAAAACCATTGTCATCACCAAGTTCTCTAAACCTATCATTTACTAATATTCGTGGTCTTCGAAGTAACTTTTCTTCTGTTGAGTCTTATCTCTTGCAAAGTTCACCAGACCTACTTGCTCTTTGTGAGACTAATTTAAGTTTGGCTGTCCCATCTTGTGATCTTAGTGTTGATGGTTATCTTCCTTTAATTCGTAAAGACTCCAATAATCACATGCTTGGCCTGGGCATCTACATTCGTAAGAACTCACCCATTTGTCGTGAAACTAGGTTTGAATCTACAGACTATTCATTTATGTGCTTTCGTTTAGCACAACTTCACTCTATCGCCTTTCTCTTTGTTCTATATCGCTCTCCTTCATCCCAAGATTGCACTATTCTTGATGTTATTTCTGATCAAATTGACCAAGCCCTCTCTCTTTATCCATCGGCCAATATCGTCGTTGTTGGTGACTTTAATGCCCATCACACCGATTGGCTTGGCTCTAGTGTCAGTGACTCTGCTGGCGATAAGGCCCTCAACTTTTGCCTTTCTCAATCTCTAACTCAAATAGTCAACTTTCCAACTCGTTTTCCAGCCAACCCTAATCATTTACCTTCTCTACTCGACTTATGTCTTGTTTTGGACCCTAGTCAGTGCTCAATTTCTCCACATTCACCCTTAGGTACTTCTGATCACGGTTTGATCTCTCTAAAACTATTATCAAATTCTTCTACTTCATCAGAATCCCCCTATCATCGTACCACATACAACTACCTTAAAGCTGACTGGGACTCTTTCCGTGATTTTCTTCGTGATGGCCCTTGGGTAGAAATCTTTCGTCTTCCTGCTGACAAATGTGCTTCTTACATAACTTCGTGGATTCAGGCTGGCATGGAATCTTTTATTCCCTCTCGACGATTCCAGGTTAAGCCTCACTCTTCTCCTTGGTTTTCCTCACATTGCGCTGCAGCAATTTCTAATCGAAACTGTTACTTCCATATCTATCAGCAAAACAATTCTCCAGAAAACAGACATCTGTTCAATATCGCCAGAAACCATTGTAAAAAGGTTTTGTCTGTCGCCAAAACTCGCTATTCCCAGGTCATTAAATCTCGTATCTCATCACAAAAATTAGGCTCTCGATACTTCTGGAGAATCTTTAACAGTATCAATAATAAGGGCAAATCTGTTATTCCTTCTCTCTTGTATGGTTCAGACTTTGTCACCTCACCTAAAGACAAAGCTGAATTGTTTGCTAAGAACTTTTCATCAATATCATCTCTTGATTCCACTAGTTGCGTTTTACCTGACATAGCCGTCAAACAGGTTGATCCCTTGCTTGACATTCGCATCACTTCAGCTTCTGTATCTAAAGTAATTTCCTGCTTAGACTCTTCAACAGCTTGTGGTCCTGAC